TCCTGTTGGTATCTTATTCTGTTAATGTTAAAAGTTTCTATTCCCTTTTGGTATCTTATTCTGTTAATGTTAAAAGTTTCTATTCTCCTTTTGTTATCTTATTCTGTTAATGTTAAAAGTTTATTCTCCTGTTGGTATCTTATTCTGTTAATGTTAAAAGTTTATATTCTCTTTTGGTATCTTATTCTGTTAATGTTAAAAGTTTCTATTCCCTTTTGGTCTCTAATTCTGTTAATGTTAAAAGTTTCTATTCTCCTGTTGGTATCTTATTCTGTTAATGTTAAAAGTTTCTATTCCCTTTTGGTATCTTGTTCTGTTAATGTTAAACGTTTATATTCTCCTTTGTTATCTTATTCTGTTAATGTTAAAAGTTTATATTCTCCTTTTGGTATCTTATTCTGTTAATGTTAAAGTTTATATTCTCCTTTTGTTATCTTATTCTGTTAATGTTAAAAGTTTCTATTCTCCTTTTGTTATCTTATTCTGTTAATGTTAAAAGTTTCTATTCCCTTTTGATATCTTATTCTGTTAATGTTAAAAGTTTCTATTCCCTTTTGGTATCTTATTCTGTTAATGTTAAAAGTTTCTATTCCCCTTTTGGTATCTTATTCTGTTAATGTTAAAGTTTCTATTCCCTTTCGGTATCTTATTCTGTTAATGTTAAAAGTTTCTATTCTTCTGTTGGTATCTTATTCTGTTAATGTTAAAAGTTTCTATTCTTCTGTTGGTATCTTATTCTGTTAATGTTAAAAGTTTCTATTCTTCTGTTGGTATCTTATTCTGTTAATGTTAAAAGTTTCTATATTCCTTTGTTATCTTATTCTGTTAATGTTAAAAGTTTCTATATTCCTTTGTTATCTTATTCTGTTAATGTTAAAAGTTTCTATTTCCTTTGTTATCTTATTCTGTTAATGTTGAAAGTTTCTATTTCCTTTTGATATCTTACTCTGTTAATGTTAAAAGTTTCTATTCCCCTGTTGGTATCTTATTCTGCCTCTGTTGTTTTAATATGAAAAGTAAATAACAAATGTTATGCATATATTTTTCTTACATTTACCCTTCCCCAAAAAAATCATTATTCAGTATAAACAAGGTGGCTAATTATAGATTATACTGTTTCCCACTGTCAGTGAAATCATAAACTATTTATAGTTGACCCAGTCTGATTTCCTTTAATTAAGTCATTTGGACTAGGTTGCTTTTTACTTCCTCGTTTTTCATTGTTAACAAAATCACTGTTATAAATAATCATTTAAATTGACAAATAACTGATATAATTTAATACAAATATTTCCTTTTAACAAAATTAAGTATTGTTATCCACATTTATAGAACTTTATGAAAACATTGTTCACTTGGGAGAGGATATGTTGCCAATCCTAAAACAAGTACTTTACTTAATTAATGAATAATAATTGCAACATTTACTAACAAAGAAATTTAATGTCTTGAATTTTTACTCCATATTGTGTCTAGTATTTGCTCAATCAACTCATACTTTTAGGAAATAAGTTTACTTTCACTAAGGATTTTTTACATGTTTTACAGATGTAATTAGGATTGTTAGATATGATTTATTTTAAATGCAAATTATTTTTTGATGTAAGACTGATTGTATGGACCTAAAAATCTTCAATTTTTACAGGTAAGCCATATGTATTTCAATTTAAATGGACCCACATTTTTATAATCTAGCTGATCTGATCTTATTTTTATTTTGGACATTTGTTTCAAAGTACAGCAACTTTTTATACGACCGCAATAAAATTTTGTGGTCGTATATTGGTATGACGTTGGCGTCGTCGTCGTCGTCGTCCGAATACACACTGGTTTTCGCACTCTAACTTTAGTTTAAGTGAATGGATCTTTTTGAAATTTGACCATAAGGTTAAATACCACAAAAGGAAGGTTTGGATTGATTTTGGGGGTTATTGTACCAACAGTTAAGGAATTAGGGGCCAAAAAGGGGCCAAAAATAAGCATTTTCTAGTTTCCAGACAATAACTCTGGAACAGTGTATGGATCTCTCTGAAATTATACTACAAGTTTCCATACCACAAAGGGATTGTTAGGATTTGCTTTGGGGGGTTATGGCTCAAACCGTTTAGGAATTAGGGGCAAAAAAGGGGGAAAAACAAGGTTGTCCTGGTTAATGGACAAATACTTTAGTACAAAACATAATTTAAAGCAGTGTAAGGGAGATAAATCAAATTCATCATTGAAATTATCTCCCTTACACTGCTTTAAAATTATGTATAAAGTAATGGTTAATGAACAATAAAGATAATTTAAAACAGTGTAAGGGAGGTAATCCAAATACAACGTTTTGGTTACTTCCCTCACACTGCTTTTAAATTATGTTTAAAGAAATGCATATTTATAAAGGAAGACCAGTAAAAATATCTGCAAATGTTGCATCTTTTTTTTTTTACAAAAAAATCCATATGAAAGATTTGACACTATATTTTTAATTCTATTATAAAATAGATTAAGTTAGCACTATGGTAAATTTAAATGGGTAATATGGAAATTGTGGGGGGTCAATATTTTCTTATTTCAGATTTCAGAAATTAAAAAGAATTATTCTTCAAATATTATTTTTTTTTCAAATTTCAAATATTGAAAAATTTCAAGAAGTAATCTTTAATTGCACAGTATGGCGCATTAGATTTGTAAAATCTTTGATCACATTTATTTATTTGTTATGCCGAATCTAACAGTGTATTTAGATTTTTAATTTTGGGTCCAGTTTTCAAATTGGTCTACATTAAGGTCCAAAGGGTCCAAAATTAAACTTTGTTTGATTTTAGCAAAAATTGAATATATGAGGTTCTTTGATATGCTGAATCTAAACATGTATTTAGATTTTGATTTTTGGCCCAGTTTTCAAGTTGGTCCAAATTGGGGTCCAAAATTAAACTTTGTTTGATTTCAACAAAAATTGAATATGTGGGGTTCTTTGATATGCTGAATCTAACCATGTATTTAGATTTTTTATTTGTGGACCCCGTTATCAAATTGGTTCATATTGAGGTCAAAAGGGTCCAAAATTAAACTTTGTTTGATTTCATCTAAAATTGAATTATTGGGGTTCTTTGATATGCCAAATCTAACTGTGTATTTAGATTTTTAATTTTGGGTCCTGTTTTTTAAATTGGTCTACATTAAGGTCCAAAGGGTCCAAAATTAAACTAAGTTTGATTTTAACAAAAATTGAATTCTTGGGGTTCTTTGATATGCTGAATCTAAACATGTGTTTAGATTTTTGATTATGGGCCCAGTTTTCAAGTTGGTCCAAGATAGGGTCCAGTATCTAAACTTTGTTTGATTTCAACAAAAATTGAATATATGGAGTTCTTTGATATGCTGAATCTAAACATGTATTTAGATTTTTGATTATGGGCCCAGTTTTCAAGTTGGTCCAAATTGGGGTCCAAAATTAAACTTTTTTGATTTCAACAAAAATTGAATATTTGAGGTTCTTTGATATGCTGAATCTAACCATGTATTTAGATTTTTTATTTGTGGACCCCGTTATCAAATTGGTTCATATTGAGGTCAAAAGGGTCCAAAATTAAACTTTGTTTGATTTCATAAAAAATTGAATTATTGGGGTTCTTTGATATGCCAAATCTAACCGTGTTTTTAGATTTTTAATTTGGGTCGCGTTTTTTAAATTGGTCTTCATTGAGGTCCAAAGGGTCCAAAATGAAACTTAGTTTGATTTTAACAAAAATTGAATTCTTGGGGTTCTTTGATATGCTGAATCTAAACATGTGTTTAGATTTTTGTTATGGGCCCAGTTTTCAAGTTGGTCCAAGTTGGGGTCCAAAATTAAATTTTTTTTGATTTCAACAAAAATTGAATATATGGGGTTCTTTGATATGCTGAATCTAACCATGAATTTAGATTTTTTATTTGTGGGCCCCGCTATCAAATTGGTTCATATTGAGGTCAAAAGGGTCCAAAATTAAACTTTCTTTGATTTCATCAAAAATTGAATTATTAGGGTTCTTTGATATTCCAAATCTAACTGTATATTCTAGATTTTTAATTTTAAGTCCCGTTTTTTAAATTGGTCTACATTAAGGTCCAAAGGGTCCAAAATTAAACTTAGTTTGATTTTAGCAAAAATTGAATTCTTGGGGTTCTTTGATATGCTGAATCTAAACATGTGTTTAGATTTTTGATTATGGGCCCAGTTTTCAAGTTTGTCTAAGTTGGGGTCCAAAATTAAACTTTGTTTGATTTTAACAAAAATTGAATATATGGGGTTCTTTGATATGCTGAATCTAACCATGTTTTTTGATTTTGGACATTGGACCATAATAGGTAAATTAAAAAAATTCAAGTTCTTAGACCACATTCTTTCTGTGTCAGAAACCTATGCTGTGTCAAATATTTAATAACAATCCAAATTCAGAGCTGTATCAAGCTTGAATGTTGTGTCCATACTTGCCCCAACTGTTCAGGGTTCGACCTCTGCGGTCGTATCAAGCTGCGCCCTAGCGAAGCATTTTATTAGCCTTAATGTATATAGACCACATTTAAATTATTTACATGTTGTTACCAGTGTTGGACTCGCTTTTATCAGTGTCTGATATGTCAAACCTATATATTGTTAGTGTCTGGTAGACCTTTTGCCAGTGTTAATCAGACATTTTTCAGACCTTTAACCAGTACCTGGAATATTTTAATGCCTGTGTCTAACAGACCGTTTGCCAGTGTCTATCAGAACTTTTGCCTGTGTCTATTAGACCTTTTATCAATGCTTGGCATACATTTTGCCTGTGTCAATTTGACTTTTTGCCAGTGTTTACCATACTTTTTGCCAGTGTTTATCATACTTTTTGCCAGTGTTTATCATACTTTTTGTCATATTTGATCAACTTTTTATAATATCAGTGTTGGCAGACCATTGTACATGTCTGTTGTCATACCTTCAATGTTCTCAGCAACAATTTCATGATCAATATTAATACTGGATGTTTTTGTTGCAGAAATTTTAAATGAATGAGAGAGCATAGAATTCATGTGGCATTTCTGAATTACCAGAATTACCAAAAAGAAGCAAATAACATCAATGGGGAATCATGGCAGTAGTTTAAGACAATCTGGTGGTATGTATATGAGGGGGATTGGAAATGACCAGTACCAGTCAGTTAACATAAAACTACACGGAATAAAAACTGATAACTACAATGTACCAACGGAGGAGTTCTCACTTCCTGTACAAGATCTGTGTTACAAGCTGCTTCAAGACAGATATCCCAGCGAAACTATTGGACCAGCAGCAATACATCTATTTGGTTTGGCCTGTTTTGATCAGGACAGGAAAACTTGTACATGGCTAAATCCAAGAAAGAGTCTGAGTGACAGTATGAAAGATGGATTCCGAGGACTAAATAATTTATATCTTCGAATAAGATTCTTGCCTGTAAAGAGTCAGTTACAAGGACATATCATACAGAGTTTATGTTATGACAAAGACCTTTGTCCAAATCATGTCAATTACTTGGTTCATTATCTCTTCTTCCAAGTGAAAAACGACTTTGTTTCGGACAGATTGAATACTTTTTATGGTGAGCTTGTGCAATCCAGCAAAGCAAGAGGAAATGCAGTATTAGACTTACTTATCATGTCCAGACTTTATGGTCTTGAATCTCCGGAAAATGTATTTGATCATATCGATCATGAAAAAAATTCAAATTGTTGTTGTTATTTCGGCAAAATGAATGGAATTGATTCCAGTTTGAATCATGTGTTACCTAGTAGAGAGCGAAACAACTGTTGGAAGGATTATAAACTGGAAAAAAACATGAAGGCAACATTAACAGCATACAGCAAGGAAAATCGTGCTGCGACAACAGTTGATTTGATGGTACATTATATCCAAGAACTAATGATGGACGTTAGAGAGAGATATATTTCAAAAAGGGCTGAAATGGATGGAAAAGTGGAAATTACAGTCAATACTCAAAACGGTTTTGGTGTTTTTATTAGAGAGGTAAGGTATTGCTCTTGTAACCTGACCTAATAAGAAGTGTTATAACATGTGGTCAAATTAGCAGACTTTCTAAAAATAATATGGTTGCAAATTTGAAACAAAGTTTGAAAGTACTTTACTCATTTTATACATAATTATATATATGTAATATATGTTTGTTTCTAAAATTTATATCAAATATTGAAAATGTATCAGGATTTCAGGAAAAAGATTTGGTATGATATTGCCAATGAGACTACACACTACATAATTTTTGTTGTATCTAATCTTCTTTTGCTGGAGTTAAGCCATTTCAATTGATATTTTATAGTCAGTCAGGGGTACTTCTTGTACAAGTAATCTTTATTTACTTGAAGAAGTAAAAAAAATATACTTATATAAGTTAATTATAATGTTTGAATAATCTCCCCTTAATTTTCTCAAAAATTCGCTTGTATAAGTAATTTTTTTTTTACAATCCCACAAAAATTCTCAAGTTTTGAGATGTAAAAACATGCCTTTAATGATTTTTTCCAGGTTAGCTCATACTTTTTGATTAGAGTTCAATGTTTCATCTAATTAATTCAACAAAGAAACTGATTGCACAAAGATCTTAAGTATTTGTGCAAGGCCTTCAAAAATTGCTCCTTGGGGGCTTGTAATTACAATTATAAATGATCAGTGTTCTGAAGATAACAGACAAATGAGATTTTCATTGTCCATGAAATTACACTTATAATAAATGATTAGTTAAGACATCTGCAAAGGACAGACAATTTAAAATTCTATTAGAGCAAAGAAGTCTTAAGAATTCACTTATATAAGTAAAAAAATCTGAACGTCTAAGGGACATAACTAAGCCAATTTTTTTTTACCTATACAAGTAAATAAAATACACTTGTACATGTATAAGTATCCTACAATAAAATTGAGAATGGAAATGGGGAATGTGTCAAAGAGACAACAACCCGACCATAGAACAGACAACAGCAGAAGGTCACCAACAGGTCTTCAATGCAGCGAGAAATTCCCGCACCCGGAGGCGTCCTTCAGCTGGCCCCTAAACAAATATATATACTAGTTCAGTGATAATGAACGCCATACTAAACTCCAAATTGTACACAAGAAACTAAAATTAAAAATAATACAAGACTAACAAAGGCTAGAGGCTCCTGACTTGGGACAGGCGCAAAAATGCGGCGGGGTTAAACATGTTTATGAGATCTCAACCCTCCCCCTATACCTCTAGCCAATGTAGAAAAGTAAACGCATAACAATACGCACATTAAAATTCAGTTCAAGAGAAGTCCGAATCTGATGTCAGAAGATGTAACCAAAGAAAATAAACAAAATGACAATAATACATAAATAACAACAGACTACTAGCAGTTAACTGACATGCCAGCTCCAGATTTCAATTAAACTGATTGAAAGATTATGTCTTCATCATATGAATATCAAGCACAATCCTTCCCGTTAGGGGTTTAGTATCATACCATCATAACATATATGAGAAGAACATAACCCGTGTCATGCCAACAACTGGTTTTTAAATAAATGTGTTTAGTGCCGATGCAAAGACCCTATAAGTGAATCAATATTAACGCCAAAATATGCAATCTTTAATGACCTGACAACAGTATCGTAACTATATCCCTTCTTAATAAGTCTATTTAAAGGTTTTGTTAGCTTCAGAGGTGAATACTGACATTTTTGTGCTTTATAAAGAATATTTCCATAAAAAATAGGATGTGAAATACCTGAACGTATAAGAAGTCTGCATGTTGAGCTATATTTACGAATGATGTCCTTATACCGATGATAAAATTTAGTAAATGTTTTGACTAGTTTGTGATATCGAAAACTCTGGTGTAATAATTTTTCAGTAATACATAAATTTCTCTCGTTAAAATCTAAAACATTGTTACATACACGAGTGAATCGTACAAGTTGAGATATATAAACACCGTAAGATGGTGACAAGGGAACGTCACCATCTTAAAATGGATTATAATTAACGATAGGAAATGAAAAATCATCTCTTTTATCATATATTTTAGTATAAAGCTTTCCGTTAATGATATAGATATCAAGATCGAGGAAAGGGCAGTGGTCATTGTTAGTATTAGCTTTATTTAAAGTAAGTTCAACAGGATAAATTTCTTTAGTATACATACTGAAGTCGTCATTATTTAGAGCCAAAATATCATCCAAATATCTAAAAGTATTATTAAATTTGTGTATCAGATGTTGTTTCGATGGGTCTTTACTGATTTTTGTCATAAATTGTAACTCATAGCAATACAAAAAAAGGTCTGCAATAAGTGGTGCACAGTTAGTCCTCATTGGAATTCCGATAACCTGACGATATACGGAATCTCCAAAGCGAACAAAAATGTTATCTAGTAAAAATTCAAGGGCATATATAGTATCAAAGCATATCCAATTGACATAGTTTTTTTGTTTATTGCTACTAAAAAATGACCTAAAAGAGTTTGAACATATATATTCACATTCTGACTTTTTAAATGCCCATTTAATTAGGTGTGTGAATTTTTTCTTAATGAGAATATGAGGCAATGTGGTATATAGGGTAGAAAAATCAAAACTTTGAACAGATTCAAAATCACCAATATATGCATGCAATTTATCAAGTACTTCCAACGAGTTCTTGACACTCCAAAAGTAATTAATTCCACTATTTTCGAAGGCCTTATTTGAACAATTTATTATCAGGTTTTTGATTGTACCAAGTGTACTGGTAAGAAGAATAGACAATTTAGTAGTGGAACAATGGCTTGAAGACGAAATGAATCTATATTTGTAAGGTTTTTTGTGTAGCTTCGGAAGCCAATACATAGTTGGGACTTTCATTGTATTTGGTTCTGCTTGTAGAGCGGTAGCTAAAAGTTTATGTTTGTTACAGATGTCTTTTTCTGAAAATGGAGTCAGTTGGAATGTTGGTGAATTGGTGATTTCTTTTTTCAGAACCTCAATGTAAAGTTTACGTCAAACAATAATAATATTATTAGCAGCTTTATCGGCCGGGACAAAAACAAATTCCTTGGCTAGTTCTTTAAGTTTATGTTTGATACGAGAAATAGGTTTATTGTGGTTATTGTTAAGAGTAAAATGTTCTTTAAAATGTTGAATACGTATATCAACTATGTTCATTACTGATTTAAAAAAAGAGTCCAAAGATTTTTTGTCAGCTTTTTCCCGTTTTATCCATTTCAATAATATCGTGGATGATATTACGACACTCATTCCAATTAATAATTGACGGGGGACGATATTTAGGTCCTTTACTGAGGAATGATTTTAACTCTCGGTCTTGAACGATGTTAATTAAAGATCTCCTGTTATAACATGGGAAATGGGTCCATAAATGTATTCGGAATTACTGCAATTACATGAAGTAGGTGTATTTTCACTGATATTAACATCTTTACACAATTGGCTATAATTAAACACAAATTTCCGGGTAGATTTCTTGTAAATATAACAAATAAGAGGAAGCTCAGTATTATCAAAATATCCCGGAATTTGTTCTTTAACAGAATGGTCGTTAAAAATACCGGCAATATTTACAAAATCAAAACCTTTATTGACATACTTTATTTTAATAAACTGTTTTTTTATGATCTTCAGGGCGATCAATTTTGGCAAACAGTTTAGAATAACAATATGCCATTATAATTTGAACGATTTCATACTTAGGACTGCTATATGAAATTGTGTTGCACTCCTCTAAAATTTTATTTAACTTATTAACCGGTAATGCAAATTTACTTATATAAGTATATTAATATTAGGCCACCCTTAAAAAATTGTTTGTTTGGCATTGCTGACCCACACTATCAGAAGGTGGGTAGGTATAGGTAGGGAAATTATTTTTTTTTATATTTAAAAGCTTTATCATGTTTATACATGTAAATCATGAAGTCTCTAGATCAATGGTGTCTAAACAAATATAAGAAGATGTGGTATGAGTGCTAATGAGACAACTCTCCATCCAAGTCAAAATTTATAAAAGTAAACCATTATAGGTCAAAGTACGGTCTTCAATACGGAGCCTTGGCTCACACAGAACAGCAAGCTATAAAGGGCCCCAAAAATTACTAGTGTAAAACCATTCAAATGGGAAAACCAGCGGTCTAATCTATATAAAAAACGAAAAACGTAAAGCATTGCAGTATTGTTTTGTGTACATGCTGATGGTTTCTTTGAAAGGGGTCAATCATCAATGTACATTCTACATCATATGGATAATTTCATGTAAGACAATCAGTTTTATTGGCAGAGTTGACCAAAGTACCCAGAAAAAAACACAGAACTGAGGCAGGAAACTGACAAATTAACCATATAAAATGTATGACGTGAAAATTGAACTTTAATTGTGGGACTGCCCATTGAACAGAGACCTGATGTCACATCTTGAAGTTGTGGTCACAGTTTGGTAAAATTACCATATTTTAAATGGCTCGAGAGATCAACCACTACGGCTCCTTGTACAAATAGACAATGATTTAAAACTTTGATTGTTTGCTTTAGTTTTAAAAACATCACTTTCTACACCATATGGGTAATTTCATGGCAGTCAGTTTTATTGGCGTACTAAACCGTAGTACTTGAAGGAAAGTGCCAACCTGCGGGAGGAAACTGACTAACCTTATCACATAGGACATAAAAATCAAACCTTAATTTTGCAACTGCCCATCTAGGGCTCAAACCAACACCTAGAGGCTAGTAATCATACATGTAAGGTGTGACAAACTACCATACAAACACGCCTACTGCCCCTGATAAGTTTTGAGGATAAAGGATCTGTACCAAATTAGGATAGCAAAATATTAAAAATTTGGAAGGTTGGCACAAACCTGTAAATCTGGGACCATTTTGGTCTTTTAGCTTTGGTGCTTCCAGCCGTAATTATCTTGAATGCATCATCATGATCATTGTGGTTCTGACTATAGTAGATACTTTGTTCTCAATGATAAATTGCAAATATTTAATAAATTCAACAAATGTAAGAGCCACGCATATTTGTTCTGTATATGGTTAATTTGTCGGTTAAAAGCTCATTAGAGATTATGTTGTATCTGTTTGTATACCTTGCCGACTCTAAATAAAGCTTATTTATTATTTATTATTATGTTCTGTGATGTCCCAGTGAAAAGCTTCTATCTCATGAAGAGACAAAGTCAAGCAGAAATCAACTGTTTCTGCTTTACAAAAGATAAAATTTGAGTCCTCTACAAGGTCTCTCAGAACGTTTCTTTCAAAGAATAGCTAAAAATTTGATTTTTGATAAAATCCATCTCCCTTAACCAATGCATTGCAGCATAGGGAGATGCTTCCCCCTGCCGACCTCTTTGACATTACTTTTGGCAGACTTTTTCTCTTCCATGTCATTTAAATGTTTGCTCCCAATACAGTGTAAGGCAAGCGCTTTAAAGATCGTGATTTGAAATAAGTAAAGCCAGGAACAAACTCGGCGGATACGATCAAATTCCGGCACAATTTCGATTTCTGAAACGCAAATAAAATTATTTGGGCGGCAAGTTTTTCAGTGGGTCGGGCGGCAATGCCAAACAAATAAAATCTTATTTTAGGCCTTACTTCTTCAAGTAAATAAAAGTTACTTGTACAAGTAGTACCCCTGACTGATAGTGTGTCTTTCTGTGTTGTGATGTTACACTATTGTTTCAGGGTAGGGTGAATGTTGGCGCCTATTAAAATGTTTAAACCTGCTGCATTTGTTTGCACCTGTCCTAAGTCAGGAACCTGATATTCAGTGGTTGTCGTTTGTTGATGTGGTTCATAAGTGTTTCTTGTTTCTCCTGTTTTTATGTAGATTAGACAGTTGGTTTTCCTGTTTGAATGGTTTTACACTAGTAATTTTTGGAGCCCTTTATAGCTTGCTGTTCAGTGTGAGCCAAGGCTCTGTGTTGAAGGCCATACTTTGACCTATAATGGTTTACTTTTACAAATTGTGACTTGGATGGAGAGTTGTCTCATTGGCACTCATACCACATCTTCTTATATCTATTTATCATTGTTTATATTAAAAAGTTTATGTAGGTTATTGTCCTGAAATATGTAAAATATGTTTTAAACAGGTTCATAGGCACTATCATGATACGGTTTTTGTTGCCCTTTAAAAGTGACACTCACTTATTCCAACGACATGGGTGGCGACATAAACAATTTGTTAAAGTTTGTAACACAATGTAATAAGTTAAGATTTAATGTGAACCACTTATACATGTTATATACATGATATAAAGTCAAAGGTATTTGGTATGCAGTTGTATTTATAGCATTAGCACATCTCATTTCCATGGAGATTATGTGGCCCTGCCCCTTCAGTCATGGTCTATTGACATCAAATCAATCACATATTTTAAATGTTAAAGTTTGTCATTAAGTCAATTTAAGGGGAACCACTTATCGTAAGTCAATGATATTTGGTATGAAGTTGTTTTTTGAACTGGCATTTCTTATTTCCTTGGAAATTATTTAATCCTGTAAAATCAGTCATTTAATATTTTATTTTGCATAGTTTACATGTTAAGTATTGCTTTTTTATCTGTGTTTAACATGTTTAACTATCAAAATTACATACATGTTATAATTAATTATATATATATATATCTGTCATGTCTGTGTCTACAGTTATTACATAAAAAGATTAAATGAAATGAATGCTATTTATGTTATATAGCCAGTGTCTCAGTCTATGTTATGTATGTGAGTTGTGTCCCTTTGAAAAGTATGTATTGAACCTACATGCTACTTGTAAATATTGTACATTATATATTAGTTTGGTAATTTTGTAGCAATCAGATCGCAGTGTTCCATCTTTATTCTGTTCAATTGAAGAGCTCCAGTCGATTGATATACATCATGATAACTATATGATGGCAGACAAGAAAACTGGAAATAACAACATGAATAAATCCTGGACTGTAAGAGTCCACAGAAATAATGGTACACCACTGGTGAGTACAATATAATTCTGGACTGTCAGAGTCTACAGAACTAATGGTTCACCTCTTGTTAGTACATTATAGTTCTGGACTAAGAGTCCACAGAACTAATGGTATACCACTGGTGAGTACAATATAATCCTGTACTGTAAGAGTCCACAAAACTAATGGTACACCATTGGTGAGTACAATATAATTCTGGACTGTAAAAGTCCACAGAACTAATGGTATACCACTGGTGAGTACATTATAATACTGGACTGTTAGAGTCCACAGAACTGATGGTATACCAATAGCTAGTACATTATAATCCTGGACTGTTAAGAGTCCACAGAACTAATGGTACACCATTGGTGAGTACAATATCATACTTGAACTGTAAGAGGCCACAGAACTAATGGTATGCCACTGGTGAGTACATTATAATCCTGGACTGTAAGAGTCCACAGAACTGATGGTATGCCACTGGTGAGTACAATATAATCCTGGACTGTAAAAGTCCACAGAACTAATGGTATGCCATTGGTGAGTACATTATAATCCTGGACTGTTAGAGTCCACAGAACTGATGGTATGCCACTGGTGAGTACATTATAATCCTGGACTGTAAAAGTCCACAGAACTGATGGTATGCCACTGGTGAGTACATTATAATCCTGGACTGTAAAAGTCCACAGAACTAATGGTATGCCACTGGTGAGTACATTATAATCCTGGACTGTAAAATTCCACAGAACTAATGGTATGCCACTGGTGAGTACATTATAATCCTGGACTGTAAGAGTAAACAGAACTAATTGTTCACCTCTGCTGAGAACATTATAATACTGGACTGTCTTCAAGGTCCACAGAATTGCTTCTCATGTTTCAAGACTTGGGTACTTAGTCAAAATGTTCAATATAGAGCATTCTTTATTGTCCAAGAAACATTCTGTGAAACCTGGTTTTTTGAGATTCTGTTGTCTATTTTGCATGACTTTCATTGGTATAGGTGAACCAGGAATTTAAATTTTTATCCTAGTACAAATTTGTATGTTGCCAAATCACAAAATCAAAATCATGAAAATATTTATGAATATACAATTGTCTTCAATCCATTCAAATTATTACCCTCTGTGCATTGTATGTACAACATAATCATGATAATGAAATAATCATCAATTTAATTCTTTTTATATTGGTAGATGTTGATTTTTGACACAGTGGAAACAGCAGAATCCTTCATTTCTGGCTTAGATGGTTACTACAGAGTTATACACAACTACCATCGTTTACTTTGTGACCAGGTGGCGCCACATTCACTCAAACAACTTGCCAACCTGAAATCTCATGGACCTATAAGGTAATTTTGAATTTCATATATACTTTCAGGAAATTATTAAAAAAAATCCTTGATTGTGGGAAAATTATGTATTCGTCGATACCAGTATTTTATTTCGTGGTTTTGTAAAAGTCTGCATACAAGCCTATAGAAAATTTATACTTTGTTGAACATTTAAATTTGTGGTTTAGCTAGCCTATACCTATGAAATCCACTAAAACTTGTATCTCATGAATAATAATTTCTCTAATTTTTATGTTATTTTCACATTTCTTGATTGGTGTGAGAAAAATATTTATCCTCACTAGTGAAATATCTGTTCTCGGCAAATGATTGGATGAAATTTAATTATGACGTCAAATTTTCTTCTGAATTTCCCATTGTGAAGTCATGAAAAAAGGTGACCATGTCTGATGATGTCACATATAAATAGAACACAACTTTCTGCAAATCTTTGAAAAGGAAGGTTAAACCTTGTTAAACATCATCTAAAAATCATTAGAGAAACAGATTACACCACTATAACTCGTGTATTACGATATTTCTCCACTCTCAACAGTTAAATTTTGATTATTTAAAAAGCTCGGCAATCCTCACGCTTTAAATATTTAACTGTCTCAAGTGGAGAAATATCATAACACACTTGTTGCAGTGGTGGAATCTATATGAATCCACAGTACTTTAAAAATAGTTGAATGGATATTATTTAATGATGCTGGAAAGCACTTCTGTGTTGACACGAATTATCATTAATCATGATTTTTTTTTTTTAAACTAAGGATTTTCTACCCCAAGAATAGATAACATAAGCTGGTTTTGGCAAATCTTTTACAATTTTTAGTCCTCAATGCTCTTCAACTTTGTACTTTATTTGGACCTTTTAACTCTTTTTATCTCATGTCACTGCATGCACTGATAAGTCTTTTGTAGATGATACATGTGCCTGGGGTACAAAATATTTAGCCTGGTAACTGATGAGTTTATACAATTACATCAAGGTCTTTATCTTTTGATGAACATTTCTTTTTTCAATTTTTAGTGAAAAGCTTGCAGTAGAAAAACTAAAGAAATCTGACCATGAATTTTTTATTGTGAAACAAGATATTCATAGACAGGACAAGTTTGCTATTGTCTACTCAAATGAAGGACAAATCAGGACAAAGTATTTTCTTAGAGACGATGAAAAGTTCTTCGTGGAAGGAGATACATCACAATCATACAACACAACAAGGGAACTTTTCCAGGCTTTATCAGAGAGTGGTATTCTGGCAAAGAATCCTATAATAGTTAGACCAAATAATGGTAGGAATCATTATAATCATATACTAACTAGTCAGACCAAAGAACGGTAGGAGTCATTATCATGTACTTAGTAGTAAGGCAAAGTAAAGGAGAAGGTTTGATAAGGCCCCAAAATGGCCCCTATTTATAGCTAGATTTTAAAATAAGTATAAAATTGACCAATATTATAATGAACGTCACAATAGCACACATTTTTATTTTCCATGAAAATTCAAGAAAACAGGTAAATTTACTTTGTTTTTTTTTTTCAATTGGAAACATAGAGCACATGCTTCAACAAAAACAATCTTCTAACATTATGTTTTTCATAAAATTTTGCCCTAACTTGTATGGAAGATAAATTGAATTTAATATTGATCAAGTTATGGGTGTTTTTGTTTAGAGACTTTGCAAATTCTGTTCCTATGGCTACAATGTGTATGGGAATTGATTGGTAATTCAAAGAGAGAAAGTTTCAATCCACATGGGACAATTTTAAGTTTATTGTGGAAAAACAGTGTAATTGAGAAAATTGAAATCAAAGTTTGACCATGCATTATTATAGAAAGTTTTGTTAAATCTAACCTGAAAAGCTATTTTCAAAACAACGATTTAAATGAAACGACTTGTTTAAAAAATGACTATTTTCAGTTACACACCTGACTGATGACTGAATTATGTATATTCTGTGTTCATTTTTCAGAATGTTGTGAAGTTTTAAAGAATTTGTTTGTTAACCCATTGGATACGCCCAATACAGATGATGAAGATTCTGGTGTTATTGCAAAGAAAAAACAGCCTTCAGTCTACATGCAGGGTGACATCATGACAGATGAAAAATTAGGTACTGTGGAATTTATGTTAGGGTCAGATGAAAATTCAGTTCTTCAGGAAATGTTAGGGTCTGGTGAAAATGCAGTTCAGTAGTAAATATTATGTGGGGGGAAAATACAGTTAACATTCTGCATCAAATGTTAGAGTCTTGTCACAATTCAGTTCTGCAGGAAAAGTTAAGATAATTAAACTTTACTTAATTTTCATATCAGTGTGGTTCATTACTTTTTTAAGGTAGCACTACAGTCAGAATTTTCTGACTCCAACCAACAGTCTTTAAAGATTATTTTCTCCAAAACTACTCAATGGATTTTAAAAATCTTTATCTCATTTTAAAGCTGAAATATAACTCTTACTTAATCTATAGATAAATTTATTTTTGGTATGATTAATCTTAAAATATAGCTCATTAATTGCCAAAAAAGTGGTCTTCCAATTTGGATGAAAATGGCACATTCAGGTCAAATGGTAGTACAAATTTATTTTCATCCCTTTAATCAACCATTCACAATCTACAAAACCATGTCTCAGATTTTTGATATATGCCTCCAGTAATAAGATATATTATTTTTACTGCTGGATGCCAAACCTCATTTCACCTTTCATCTTTGGAGACCTATAAATTCATTTAGAAACAAATTATCCAAAAACTGGGACACGGTATTGTAGAAAATACTCCCTTCAATCACATATATCAAAGTCAAGCCAAAGGGGGTACCCATAAAGTTTCTATTTTCATTTTTTCCTTACAATTCTCATGAAAAATTGATCAGAGAAATGACCTTAAAACTGAATTTCCTCTTAAGAACCCCTATAAATGCCACATAAATACAAAAATTCCACTGGGAACACCCCAGGAGTGTTCTGACACCATTACTTTATCAATAGAACCACACACATTGTGTCTTTGATGCTCTAATGCTGTAAAATTTGCATTTTGTGTGCACTATATAACACTAACTTGGCATTTGGCGGGAGTTTGACGTCACAGATTTGACCAACATCTGTGATGTAGTAATTAAATAAAGACAAAGCTCCGCCTCTGTCCAGACAGTCTAAAGTCTAAGATAAGAGAATAACAGGATTGGCCAGCTGCATCATAATTGATATTTAACATCATTATTCTCACTATAAAGAATAATTTTCATTTGAATTTTAAAAAGAAATATAATATGACCATGATGACTGAAATTAGCTAAAATATTAAAATTAAAATACGTGTCCATAAAAAGATCAAGTCCATCCCCTTCTTGAAAATAGACTGTCCAACATGATTTATGAGCTTCATGGAATTAAAAAATTTCACATAAACTTAAAATTAGTTAAAATGCCTAAAATTATTTTTAAATGTAGAAGACCAAAGACGAGAAATTTATACAGGCAGTCAGAGGCTTTCAAAGATACTTTCACACTCTTTTCCATAGTTTTTGTCGAGCCTGCGACTTTTGTCGCAGAAAGCTCGACATAGGGATAGTGATCCGGCGGCCGGGGCGTTAGCTAACTTCTTAAAAGCTTTATATTTTAGAAGGTGGAAGGTCTGGATGCTTCATACTTTGTATATGGATGCCTCATGTTACGAAGTTTCCGTCAGTCACATGTCCAATGTCCTTGACCTCATTTTCATGGTTCAGTGACTACTTGAAAAAAAAGTTAAGATTTTTTGTAATGTTAGATTCTCTCTTATTATAAGTAATAGGATAACTATATTTGGTATGTGTGTACCTTGCAAGGTCCTCATGCCCGTCAGACAGTTTTCACTTGACCTCGACCTCATTTCATGGATCAGTGAACAAGGTTAAGTTTTGGTGGTCAAGTCCATATCTCAGATACTATAAGCAATAGGTCTAGTATATTCGGTGTATGGAAGGACTGTAAGGTGTACATGTCCAACTGGCAGGTGTCATCTGACCTTGACCTCATTTTCATGGTTCAGTGGTTATAGTTAAGTTTTTATGTTTTGGTCTGTTTTTCTTATACTGTATGCCATAGGTCTACTATATTTGGTGTATGGAATGATTGTAAGGTGTACATGTCTAGCTGGTAGGTGTCTTCTGACCTTGACCTCATTTTCATGGTTCAGTGGTCAAAGTTAAGTTTTTGAGTTTTGGTCTTTTTTTTCTAATACTATATGCAATAGGTCATCTATATTTGGTGTATGGAAATATTTTATGATGTACCTGTCAGTCTTGCAGGTTTTATTTGACCTTGACCTCATTTTCACGGTTCATTGCTCAGTGTTAAGTTTTTGTGTTTTGGTCTGTTTTTCTAATACTATAAGCAATAGGTCAACTATATTTGTTGTATGGAAGGATTGCAAGCTGTAGTACATGTCTGCCTGGCATTGTTCATCTGACCTTGACCTCATTTTCTTGGTTCATTGGTCAATGTTTAGTTTTCTTGGTTAAGTCTGTATCTTAGAAACTATAAACAATAGGTCAACTATATTTAGTGTATTGAATGATTGTAAGGTGTACATGTATTTCTTGTTTGGTTTATATGACCTTGACCTCATTTTCTTGGATCATGTTAAGTGTATGTGATAGTTGTAGTAAAGCTTTATATTTAGGACTATCAACATAATATCAATGATTAGTAAAGAAGGCGAGACATTTCAGCGTGTGCACTCTTGTTTTTCATTTTGGTAGATTTTTTCCCTTTAAATTTTTTCCTATTCATATCTTTTTCTTTTTCTCTGTTCTAAACTTCCATGTTTTACAAATTAGTTTTGTTGCAATGCAATGAGATATTTATCTTGTGGTCAGGGATTAACAGCTGGACACTGGTATCAACAGATGATTGACATATTAGCCCCTCCCAAATGCCTATATATTTATATTAATTACATGTGCTTTTATTTACATACGTTCATTATCAATTTACTCCCTGTTGTGATATGTTAATGACTTTGGGATTTTTACAAACTGTGCAGAATAATACTTAATTCAAAATTATGTGATAAAAAAAATATCTTCAAAAAATCATTGTTAGACTGTAGTGCTACCTTAAAAGCAGCATTAAGTATTTTCTCAACTGAATTGAATTATTGAATATTTTTATTTCTATAGCAAATGTATAGCACAAATATTTATGTTTTTTTTTGTTATGATGATTTGAGTGCATCAATTGATGATTTAATGGTTGCAAATTGAGTTTACTGGATACATACAATTTCCCCCTACACTCTTTGTCCCCTCGCAACGCATTGCTGGGGACATAGAAATACCAGGCGTCCGTCTGTGCGTCCTTCCATCCGGTCTTGTTAGTGCTCTCACGTGTACAATTCTTGCCATATTTTTATGAAACTTATCATAGGTTTATATCAGCAATGTCTTGAACAAGTTTGAGAATCAGTGCCGATCAATTATTTTTAAAAGAGTTATGCCCCTTGGAAACATAAATTATATGGAAAATTGCATCGTTAGCGCTCTCATTTGTACAATTCTTGCCAGATTTTTATGAAACTGATATCATAGGTTTATATCAGCTATGTCTTGGACAAGTTGGAAAATCAGTACCAATCAATAATTTTTTAAAGAGTTATGCACCTTGGAAACATAAATTATATGGAAAATTGCATCGTTAACGCTCTCATTTGTTCAATTCTTGCCAGATTTTTATGAAACTTATATCATAGGCTCATATTAGCAATGTCTCGGACGAGTTTTGAAAATCAGTGCAGATTAATTATTTTTACGATCAAAAATTTTTAAAAAAGATATGCCCCTTGGAAATATTAATTATATGGAAAATTGCCTTATGAGCGCTCTAATATGTACAATTCTTGCCAGATTTTTTTAAAATTTATATTATAGATATGTATTATCATTGTCTTTGACGAGTTGGAAAATCTGTGCAGTCAATTATTCTTAAAAGAGTTATGCCCCTTGGAAATATTGATTATACGGAAAATTGCATTGTTAGCAATCTCATATGTTCAATTCTTGCCAGAATTTTATGAAACTTATATCATAGGTTTATATCAGCAATGTCTTTGACACTTTCGAAAATAAGTTCTGATAAAATATTTTTAACAAGTTATGCCCTTTGGAAATATTAATTATAATGGAAATCACATTGCATTTGCTCTGAAACCTTCATTTCTCTAAGATATCAGTAAAAAGTCTTACAGATAAAAAAAAGGTGCTTTTTTTAGTTAATTCCCTTGTACCTTGGATAGATAAAATATGTGCAACACAGGGGACATTGGAACTCTGTTCCTTTATTAGTCCCCTACCGACGAAGTCGAAGGGGACTTTAGGTTTGCACTCCATCCGTCTGTCTGTCCTTCTGTCGGTCCGGCAAATCAGTTTTCCACACTTTTTTACTTAATGCTTGAAGATATTGGTTTGATATTTGGTATATTGTTTTATCATGACAAGTTACAGATCAAGTTCGTAATTTGTTCCGGTCTGATAATTTTGTGCAGAGTAATGGTCCTTGGACTTAGAAAATTCACTCAAATAATCAGTTTTCCACACTTTTTTCGTCATGCTTGAAGATATTGATTTGATAATTGGTATATAGTTTTATCATGACAAGTTACAGACCAAGTTTGAATTTTGTTTCGGTTTGATGATTTTTTGCAGAGTTATGGTCCTTGGACTTAGACAATTCACCTAAATTATCAGTTTTCCGCACTTTTTTTCGTCATGCTTGAAGATATTGACTTGATATTTGTTATATATAGTTTACACCATGACAAGTTATAGATCAAGTTAGCATTTTGTTCCAGTACAATTAAATTTAAACAGTAGGGGACTATGTATTGCCATGCAATACTCTCAGAATGCTTGTTTATTTAGAAATATACGGAAAAAGAAATCTGATCATTTTTCCATGGTATTGAATGTTTGAGACTAATGATCGAAATAACTGACATGATCATTTAATAGGGTGGTCACAGGGGATCATTTATGGAGTCTGTGCTCTTTCCCTAAATGGATGGATGTAAACAACAAAATCCACCTAAACTGTAGTTTAAAGTAAAAATGAATAGAAATGGTCCAGAAAAGTTTAAATTTAAGTAAGCCTTCAAGGAGATTTTGCTTATTTTTATTGAAATTTGGAGGACTGTGGTTATATAAAAGGGAAAGAGCAATAAATGCATGTAGGTCAGAAGCACACCTGGCAACCTTTTGGAGCTACAAAGTGGGAAATCTTTCTCTTTCAAGGGGGGAGGTTATTGTTGACAACCATTTTTCATTCAATATTTTGTATCAAAATAAGCGCAAAAGGATAAGATTTAATTAACAATTCGTTAAAACATCATTATAGATGAGGTGAGACATCTTTTAACTAAGCTAAGGAGAATTGTTTTAGGAATACAGTGAAAATCAATCACAGAAAATACTATAACGAAAAACCCAACTCAAATAATAAAAAGGGGTAAACATAGGGTGATTATTTTGTAAAAGAGGGAGATTGTGACCTCCCTCACAGGTAACGGGTAGAAAGAGGGAGATTGTGACCTCCCTCACAGGTAACGGGTAGAAAGAGGGAGATTGTGACCTCCCTCACAGTTGACAGGTAGAAAGAGGGAGATTGTGACCTCCCTCACAGGTGACAGGTAGAAAGGGGGAGATTGTGACCTCCCTCACAGGTGACAGGTAGAAAGGGGCAGATTGTGACCTCCCTCACAGGTGACAGGTAGAAAGAGGGAGATTGTGACCTCCCTCACAGGTGACAGGTAGAAAGGGGGAGATTTAAAATGGTTTTAAGGAAAAAGAAAAAGAGTCTTACTTTAGAAATGATGTATTGGTAGGTACGGTCAGAAGATATCCTATAGTTATTTGCCTTTTTTGTTTAGGCAATGGTTATTTTACTGAAGTGTACAAAGGTCGAGTGAGAGGAAGTGACAAGTTTATAGCTATAAAACAGATCAGACACCACCGACCCGAAGAAAGAAATCAGGAGTTTCGGTGCTATGAGGTATTGTGTTCTGTTTCTTACATATAACACTGATATTTAAAAAAAAAAAAGTAAATATCTCAGATCAAATTTTTGAGACTCTAACTGAATCTTATTTCTTTTTTCTTTTAAATATTGCACTAGGTCAGAGTTCATTAACTGGCTGCTTAAAATTCTGCACTAGAAAAAGAAAAATACAATAATATTCTCAGATTGTTGGCAAGGTTTAAAAGTACCGGTACATAGGATTCAGAAAACAGTTAACCACCTAGAAACAATTTTAGAATTTCACTCACATTTTCACTACAGTGGATTCATTTATCTTCTTTGGAACCGATTTTCGTGGATTGAAGAAAAATTGTATTTCCATGGATATTTATCAGGCCTTAGAAAATGTGTACTTCATTGAACATTTAGTATCCTACAAATAATAATGAATCTAGTCTACAAAAAAAGTATTTTGAGACGATAGAGATTTTAAAGTGGTTCCCAAGGTCCCATGTATGTTTTTATGGAACAGCCAAAAGCATACTGTGGATTCATTATTATTTGTTGGATACCAATTTTCATGGATTTTGTGAGAAGAGGTGAACAACGAATTTGAATGTTCAACGAATAAATTTTGTATAAGGCTGTATGCAGACTTTGGCAAAACCATGAAAACAAATATCCACAAAAATCTGAGTTTTCCTCATTCTATGGAAATGGCCATGGATTCCCACGATCCCCAAAGAAAATACTTTGTCCTGATTTGTCCTTCATTTGAGTAGACAATAGCAAACTTGTCCTGTCTATGAATATCTTGTTTCACAATAAAAAATTCATGGTCAGATTTCTTTAGTTTTTCTACTGCAAGCTTTTCACTAAAAATTGAAAAAAGAAATGTTCATCAAAAGATAAAGACCTTGATGTAATTGTATAAACTCATCAGTTACCAGGCTAAATATGTTGTACCCCAGGCACATGTATCATCTACAAAAGACTTATCAGTGCATTCAGTGACATGAGATAAAAAGAGTTAAAAGGTCCAAATAAAGTACAAAGTTGAAGAGCATTGAGGACTAAAAATTGTAAAAGATTTGCCATTTGAATGTTTTATATGTACAAAATATGTAAGTTCCATTGTTCTTGTATTCTAAAAATCAGTCAATGTTTTTGTTTTTGTTACTGTTTAGTTTTGTTTTTTTGTTTTTTGCCTTATATACAATATACTTTTTTCCAGTCACTACAAATGGGAATTTGTCAACAGCTAGGATTTGAAGATACCAGATTTTTCGTTGGTATCCAGGGTATTTGTTTGACATCACCACCTCAAGTTCTAGAGGAGTATGCACAGTATGGCTCCCTTACAAAGTTCTTTACCATGGGAAAGCCTTTTACATTACAACATTTTATCTACGTAGCGATACAGCTGGCTGAGGCTTTACTATACATGGTAGGTCATCATCCTCAATGGATTCACATTTTCAAGTCAACTTTTAGTTTGAATTTATTTACATAGGTTATTTCTAAATACTTTCATGCCCCTCTTTCAAAAGTAGGGGGTATTATGTGTATGGTTCATCCATCCTCTATTACATAATATGTGTCATGGCTGTTAACTTAATAACAAAAACCTCTATTAGAATTTTATTAAGTCTAGATCTTGCAGAATGAGAGTTTTAAGTAACAATTGTAACTTCATTTTTAGGCAGTATGAGTAATTTAGTTCTGGTCAGTAATGAAAATACTGGTCATAAATTTTTTGGCAGAAATGGTTTTTGGTGGAAGAAGACTTCAAGTCTTTTAAAAGCCTTTACTGCTGGCTGTAAAATCAATGAACTGTCACTAGGACATATGCCGTATCCCTTTCTGTGCTTTACAATATCATAACAACTTCCGTGCCATATCTTGACACCGATGTTTACACATGATCTAACTTGCATCATTTAATTTATTAGTTAGGCTTGAAAAACTATCACTATCGTTAGTGTTATAATTTCTCATGTTTAAATGTATTAATATCAACCCTTTTATTTATGTAAATTATTAAATTTCATCTCATCTTACATGAACGTTATTTATTTACTTGTAACCGGATGTCTTTAAAGTAGAGTTTGTAGTATGCATGGGTGAATTTGGTATCGGGTCGGTTCGCCCTGATTACATGTTCGCCCTTGTTCTGTTGGCCCTGAGTTCGTCCCCATAGAGTACATTCACCCTGGGTTCCTTCTCCTTACATTTATCGTGGAAGTATTATATTGACTGCTTTTATCAAGGACGTTTTATACATTCTTGCAATTATTAAAAAATAATAATATTATGGGTATTAAAGTTTAATAAACTTATTCGGATATTTATATGGTATAAATTCTCAAAATTCAGAACCACATTGCTAGCTACGTATCTGCGCATGTGCACAAATGGAAAATTTAATTGTGCATCTACAAGTTTCAAAATAATGATAAACAGAATTGTTATATATTCATACAATCCATCTTGAGCTAAAGTCAAGTATATACGTGGAGAGTACGACTTCAAATCAATGATGCTTGAAAAAATACACGGATTTAGTTGTTCGGTCTGCGTTCAGATCTTTAATGCAATCAATTAAGTCACATTCCAGGTTTAGACAACATGTGTTTTTTAAAACGAAAGTTAGAATATTTCAGTATGTTATTACGATAATAAAGAGTCAAGCACACACTTGAATCTGCTGGTGTTTTACACATCAAACGATGCACCGTCTGTTGACAGAAATATCAATGTACAAACTAATGTCTGTTGACGGATTCCATTTCGAAAGTACGTAGTTTTCATGTCGGTCATTGTCGGAATGTCCCCAATGATCGCCTTTATTGCCTTAATACGTTTCAAAGTTTTAGAAATGATAAAAACGGGATTTAACAACTGAATAGTCCAGCTCTTTACAGTTATTCGTCATTAGGGTACACACATTATCGAGGCTCGAGTACGGAACCTGTAATTTGTTGCTGTCAATAGTTTTATTTTCATGAAAAATTTCAGAAAAGGGCTGTGTCACTGTGACTCCTGACGGAAAATGCCATTTCTACCCTCATACTTTTGTTTCAAAATATTAGACGAAAAACAAATATGATATATATGGGTCAAGCACTTTAAATGAACGAGTTTGAAATGCAAAAAGAGTCAAGGGCACACCTGATTCTGTCAACTGACGGTGCATCGTTTGATGTGTAAAACACCAACAGATTCATGTGTGCGCTTGACTCTAAATTATCGCTATAACATAGTAAGGTCATCACCTGACATGACCAGTCAATCCTTCGCCTGACACATATCTGCATTGGATATATTTAGAATTTTTCAATATATGTTTATAATGAAAAACCCTATTTTAAGCAAAGTTGACTAAAATCTTGGTGGCCAGTTTTTTTTAAAGTTAACTATCTGCCTTTGACAGAAAACTTTCAAGCAAAACCAAATCAATTACTGTTATAATTGCTTGGCGAAATTGCATTGTATCAAGTTGACCATGCTTAGACGAATGTATGGAATTTAGTTATAGAAAATTTAATTTGAATCAACAGTATTTGCATATTTTTATGTTAAGTATAGTGAGTTTTGGTTGAGTTATGAGTATTATTATTCTTGGAAGAAAAAAATATGTCGAAAGCAATAATGGGACAAAGCAGGCTGGGTTGGTGGGGGCTGCTATTATTGTAATTCAAGTAACCTTTTATGCATCTTCTTCCACCTCAGAGCAATCAGCTCTTTGATTTTTATCAATTTTTGATTTCTTAGATTCAAAATGAAACATGGCAAACGTCTAAAATTGTCAGAACAACTTCATTTATTTTTTGTTGAAACTTTTTTCATGTTGAAATTTTTATGTTTGAATTTGGCAATATATTTTTTTGTTATTTTCTAACCCTGTTGATGTATACATAGGAGATAATCCAACTTTGACATAATTGTTTTGTCTTTTTACCAGTGGAAGTCATGAATTACAAATCACTCACAATAATTTGTGAGTTGACAGTATAAGACACATTGTTAGATTATCTCCCCTGTTGGAAAATTATCTCCCTTGTTATTATTTTCATCAACAGAAATTTCTATGTTATTCTTAGGATCAATGAGGATATTTTCCTCATTTTCAGAATTCATTTTATTTCAAGCCACAGTCAAGTAAATTCCTGTCAATTACTATGTAAATTCCTTCTTTACAAAATGCCCAGATTCTCGTATTTTGATTTTAAGAACATAAACTATGTAGAATGGTAACAGTTGAATTTTGTTGTATTTTTAGGATGAGAAAGGTTTGCATCATGGGAGTATATGTTGTAAGAATGTGATGGTGTTTAAATATGATGCTGGAGATATTTTCATCAAGCTAGCTGATAGCGGAATGTTAAATATATATAACAAGCTTCCAATTGGTCATCCACTCAATGTACAAAGGTTTGATATCTGAACTTCTAAAAATAAATAATTAAAATGAAAAATAAGTCATTATTTATGTAAGAAAAGCAATAGACTATTACTTGATAGTTTTTATACCCCCGCTTTAAAAAAGGGGGAGTATACTGTTTTACCTCTGTCTGTCCTTCTGTCAGTCCGTCAGTCCGTCTGTCCCATCAATATTTTCGTCGCATTTTTCTCAGGAACTACTTGACAAGGATTTCTGAAATTTGGTTTCAGGGTTTATATAAGTAAGTTACACCGTGTGATGCGTTTTCACATTCATCACTCAACAACTTCCTGTTTACAAAACACTTGTATTATTTTACACATGATAGCCAAGTTGAAAATTTTCATCACATTTTTCTCAGGAACTACTTGACAAGGATTTCTGAAATTTGGTTTCAGGGTTTATATAAGTCAGCTATACTGTGTGATGCGTTTTCAGATTAATCATTCAACAACTTCCTGTTTCATGCATATTCAGGTGCTTGATACATGTAATATTCAATATGATATAACAAAAAAGGGGGAGACAATGTATATCAAGGGGGCAATTAAAAGGGGGAACAATGTTTATCAAGGGTGCAATTAAAAAGGGACAATGTTTATCAAGGGGGCAATAAAAAAGGGGAGACAATGTTTATCAAGGGGCCAATAAAAAGGGGGAGACAATGTTTATCAAGGGGGCAATCAAAAGTTGAAGTAAAAGTAGAACACCATGGTAAAAGAAAAAAAATGAAATGACAAACAAGTTATAAAAAAACTATTTAAAGAAAACCTGAGACTGATTAACAAAAACCCAATCAGATTCTGAGGTAGAAGTTAGGTTCTCTGAAAAATAAGATGTCCAGGTGATTGAAGTCTTTCATTTTGATTAAAATTACTAACAATATTGAAATTACAGAAATCTGTGTAGAGCGTCACATATACAGACGGTGGTAGTACTATTAAAGGTTCACTGGTATTGGTCCTATGATCTCTGGTGGATAGTTGTTTTATCGGCAATCATACCAAATCTCCTTATTTTTATAAATTTTTTTTTGTAACTGGTTATCATTTTACTGATGTTGTTTATTATGAAATTATTTCATGATTAAGGATTTAATTTTATACTTGTTCAAAAAGGGAAGGAGGCTAGCACACATTCATATTGAGTACTGACATGACTAAATAAAAGAAACCATTTAACTTGTTTAAAATCTTTTTTTTATACATTGAATTAAAAGTTTTAATTTTTCAAAATCAATTGTCAATTGCCTATTTTGAATTTAATCAATATAGTTTCCTGTCAGGTGTAATTCTTTTACATAAGGATGAAAACAAGAAGCAGGGGCACTTCAATACTTAATTGATAGGGAGTGGTGCTGAGATTCTGTTACCCTACCCTTTTCATATAATTTAGATTTTGAAAATGTATACCTTTTCATATTTTGCGCAGGTAAAATGTTACCTTTTCCCATATTGTTTGGGTTTCGTGTGACTGTAATGTAAGAGTGGAATACAAAAAGTGTCAAAAGAGAGAAAATTGGTTGATAAAAACACAACCAGAAACACCAACAAAGATGACAGACGAAGAAGTTATGGAAACTTTATTGACCTTATCATATATTTCTGATAGTTTTCCCGACCTATTCACATATTTTCAAGCTGGAAAAGGTGACCTATTCAGAAATTTTTGCATGCATTTATTATTGAGATTTTTTAACAATTGCACAGAATGCAAGAGTAAATAGTGTAATTTCAGAAAATAATTCATATATAAGATGCTATAAAATTATTTTTGTGAAATTTACCCAGTCGCAATTTTTCGCAAAAATGAAAATATTTCAAAAATTTCTGCATATACAGTACCTTCTGTTGAATTGTTCAAATCAATAGTCTTAAGATTATAGCCTACTTTTCATGTTGTTTATGTATTTTACAGACTTCCATGGATTGCACCAGAGTTATTTAAAGATATGTTAAAGACAACAATTGCCTGTGATGTTTATGCCTTCAGTACAACGTTATGGGAATGTGCTACGTTAGGAAGAAGTCCGTTGGAAGTACAGCCCCTCAAAGATTTCAATCTTGAAAGTGATAAGGTATGTGCTACGTTAGGAAGAAGTCCGTTGGAAGTACAGCCCCTCAAAGATTTCAATCTTGATAGTGATAAGGTATGTGCTACGTTAGGAAGAAGTCCGTTGGAAGTACAGCCCCTCAAAGATTTCAATCTTGATAGTGATAAGGTATGTGCTACGTTAGGAAGAAGTCCGTTGGAAGTACAGCCCCTCAAAGATTTCAATCTTGATAGTGATAAGGTTAGAAAAGTAAAGGATTATAGACAATCAAAAACCACATATCTAATTAAAGACATATAGTACCATGGCAAAAAGACAATAGACATGACAGCTGTCACATGAGGAGCAGAATCTGCTAAATCTTCTGGAGCACCTGAGATTATCCCTGGTTTTTCATGCAGTTGTGCCATCTTTAGTTTTTCTATGTACGGTTTTGGGGAATTATTTGTCTTTTCGTTTTTTTTAATTTTTTTAGCCATGGCATTGTTACTTTATTATAGATCCTTGAGTTTTGAATGTAACATGATGTCTTCTGGCTTTTTTTTTCAAACTTTTGTGGTTGTTATGAAAATCGGGAGATGGGGTTTGAATGTTTATGAGACAGTTATTCCCCATAGACCAAAGGACAATGTTAAACAGTTATAGGTAAAAGTATAGCCTTCAACAATAAGCAAAACTCTTACCATACTTCATGTACTTGTAATATACTGTTGGTGTTTAATGCCACTTTTAGCACAATTGGCTATAATGTGGTGGTTAGTTTTCATTGGTGGAGGAAACCCGAGAGCCCGGTAAGAACCACCAATCTTAGTCAGGAAAACTTACAATCTTAGTCAATTAAGATTGGAGTTAAGTGTTGACAGGCTAGTGATTAAGAAGATAAACTTCTTAGACCATTCAGCCACGGAGGCCCTAGTTAAAAAATAATAGAAAATTGCATTTTTCATTTGAAAGGCATTATATCTCTGCAGCATTTCCTGAAATATTTAAAATTGAGCTATTATTTGTCTCCATAGTAAATGTTTAACAATGTCAGCAGTGATATTGTTTGCCTCAAATTACAGCCGAAATTCGGCTTTTTCCCCTAGAGAAAATTCCCAATTACTAAAAAAAATGGCTTAAAATTCCTCCCAAAAAGTTTTACATTTTCCCCAAACCGTGATGGCATCGGTAGTAATGATTGTAAATATCGTATTCATGTTATTATTTTGATATTAGAAAGCACTTTTGAGATCTGGTTTTCTGATCAGAATCATCATGGTGTTTGTAACACATGGTTTTCAATGCATTAAGTACCATCATTGCTTCTGTTTCTTTCCCCTCTTAGAAAAGTACCTTTCAGGTTGAAAATGTCTGACAACCAAAATATACATGAAAAAACAGTGCAAAAAAGACTGCAAAGGTCGGCAAAAAATCGGAAATGTGTTTAGAATAAAATATACAAATTTCCCAATTTCAATAAAAAATATGCATTTTTCCCAATAAAAAACAGTAGAGGTAGTTGTCAATAATAAATACACTAAAACAATAACAGTAATTCACAATAAAAGTATCCAGGATAACAAAATGTGACAAAACTAAAGGCCTTACTCAAGCTTAAAACATTAAATGAAAAAAAGGTATGGAAGATTGCAACCAACAACTACCTCTGGACTTCAGATATCTGCTTTGCAGTTGGAAAGCAGGTCACGGTTTGACCCCAAGTCTATCAGCAACAATAGAGTCACGTGACTGTGAAAATTCAGTAAAACTACGGATGAGACAAACCTCACTTTTACTCACTAAAATACAACTGTCATAGTAAAAACTTATTGATCAAAATAATCTTGAATATACATAGTTTTAACTCGTCAAAACTTACACATCAACTCAAAGTCCTTTATTCTTTATTTTATCTTCAAACTTGAAGTTTGTGTGAAAATTGTCAAGGCTCCTGATCGAAAAATCTAAATATTTTCGAGGAAACTAAAAATGATGGGCTGAATTTAAATTTAATAAAGCATCTCATTAAGACAAACACTCGATATGAATATCTAGGCAATACAGTTTTGGATACACAAACGTCAAGTTATGTTCAACACGAAGCGGTGGTTTTTTTGCCCGATTTGTGCAAGTGGTTATCTCCCCTTGATATCACCAGTCAAAAATGAAAACCCACCAAAATGAATAAAAAAGGAGTTTATTTTACAAAAATCAAGAAGAAAATAAAAGAAAGTCGATTAACAACTATGTTATTATAATATTAAGAAGAGATACTTCTCTACTTTTCAGAGAAGGATTACAGGTAAAAATTAAAAGACAAAAAATCGGTAAAAATTAGATCTAGAAACCTAGCTGAATTGATATAAATTAGCCCTGGCTGATGAAATTTACTTTCAGTTTGTAATTTTTATAATGGGATTTGGGATCACTCCTTATGTAACTACTTCTAACAATGTTTAATTCAATAAAACATACTGTATACAATTTAAATAATCTTTCTGAAAAAAAATAGTACTGACCATTTATATTTTATATTTTAATTAAGTGGGACCAAGAGTCACAATTAAGTTTCTTCAAAGTAAAAAAGCCTTTTAACTCAGCCTATGTTTTTTAGTTGAACAGTACAGTACTGCCTAGAAAATATCATACAGAAAAAGGATAAGTTTACCAAAAAAATGACAAAAATTCTGTAAAAAAATAATGCTTAAAATTATAAGTGAAAGTGACATAATTTTGAATTTTAAAATCATTATTATGTAAAATTCAACTATTAGATTAGCTAGCACAGTAGCCCTTATCCAATTTCTCAGGGTATTTTATAGTCCAAATAATTATGACGTCTTGGAAGGCTATTGTAAACTTTTGCATTTTATAGATTATGAAAGTAAACATTTTGAAAAAAAATTGGGGCTTCTTCTCTTCAGGTTGCTGTATCTGCAGCTTTACATATTTATAAACAAAGTATTGTATATCTTACCTGAATAATTGGATATTAATCTCAGAAATGAAAGTATGACAAATCTTGTGCATTTTACTTTAATAATGATCAATGATGATTAAATTTGACAAGATTTTGCCATTTGAATAAATTCAATTTTGTAAGCACACATCTCTATGAACTAATTTCTTGTTTGACTTGAAAAGCTAGTGTTTGCTCTTATTAATGTAGCTTACTTAGTAAAGAGATAATTGATAAGCAAGGTTTTTAACTTATAAAATATAAATATAATTAACTGACCTTCATTTCCTTTTTAGCTCACCGGGGCCCAAAGGGCCCCATGTGAGCTTATGCCATAACTTGGCGTCTGTCGTCGTCGTCTGTCGTCGTAAACTATTTCAAAAATCTTCTCTGAAACTACTGGGCCAAATACCTTCAAACTTAAACTAAATGTTCCTTAGGGTATCTTGTTTATAAATTGTATCCATAGTTTGTATCCATCGACAAACATGGCCGCCATGGCTAAAAATAGAACATAAGGGTCAAATGCAGTTTTTGGGTTATATCTCAAAAACTAAATCTTTTAGAGCAAATGTGACATGGATTAATTGTTTAATTGGTCAAGATCAATCTGCCCTGAAATTTTCAGACGAATCGAACAACCCATTGTTGGGTTGCTGCCACCAAATTGGTAGTTTTAACAAAATTTTGCAGTTTTTTGTTATTATTTTGAATATTATTATAGATATATATAAACTGTAAGCAGCAATAGTGTTCAGCAAAGTAAGATCTACAAAAAAGTTAATATGACCAAAATTGTCAATTGACCCCTTAAGGAGTTATTGCCTTTTAAAGACAATTTTACACAATTTGTTCATCAAGTTTGCTAACATTTAAAAATCTTCTCCTCTGAAATACAGGTGAGCGATTCAGGCTCTTGAGAGCCTCTTGTTTCATATGTTTTTTCCTCCAGAAATTTTCTTTGCAATGCATTTTCTATTCTGCTTTTGTTTATACATAGGCCATCATTAATTTGTCATATTTGCTTCCAGTATAAATGAAATTTTCTTAGACCTATAGTTTAAAACGCCATAAAGAAGAACTTTGTTTGTTGTTTCACTTGTCCAATGTGTAAATTTTCACTATGCACATGACCCTGACACATATTTTGTAAACGTTATATGTGACGTATGTTGAAAAAGAAAACAATGTCACCGTCAATTTGTGTAGGGGATCAAAAAGGGGTTTAATTACTTTAAAATGGAGATATCGTATGGAATTGTGAAAAACAACAATTTTTAATCACAATTTCATTCATATCTATAATAAAATCAGTTTTTAGAGTACTTTGGAAACAGGTACAATGAAAAGAAGTTGAACTTTACTGTTTTGAAGTAGAAACGCAGCCAAAACCAGGTACAAATTGACATGACTGGTGGTCACCAAAATTGATGTATAATAGTAAAAAATGATGGCTTCATAATTGTGTAGAAATTTGAAATAGGTTACCCGGTTTCATTTAAGATTTTTAACGTTCTATTCTGTATTTGGATACGCAAACGTCAAGTTATATGAATTCGATGTTTTTGGCGAACAAAAAAGATGGCTGATCATTTTTAGAACGGACAGGATAAAGTAATAGCAAATAAAAGTTATTTTCGACTATGTTTCAATGTCATATTGAAACTATATTGTTCACAAAATCTACAAACTTTAAAAATCAATTATAATAAAAGCATGACAAGTTGAAAAAAATAGTTTAAACGTCGATTTTTTAGCCGATTTATTTCGCAGACTTTTTGATGTCACAGACAACTGTAGCGCCACCTAATTAATTCCCCCTGCTATTGTTGCTGATAGAGCTTGACGACAACGGACGTTTCCAATGACTTGCTTTCCAAATGTTTGGGACATGCATGCACATAAAGAATGGGGTACGGTTAAACATATTTTAGGACGCTCATTTCTTAAGTTATATGGTTTTTTTTCCATTTTCAGATTCAAGAATTTTACCTTAGTGGAAAAACTATTGATTTTCCTGAAGACTTGATCACCAAACGTGATGATGGAAGGGTCAGACCAGCAACTTCATCTGATAACTCCAATTATAACGGAAATACCAACACTTCTAACGTTATTGATAACAGAGACTCCAATGATGTCAATTCCAAAAACTGTGCGGAGAATGAAAGTGAAGCCAAATTGCCTGATTACTCCAAGGTTAATGACGGGCAGAGAACCAGTAGTACATTAGAATCTCCTGAAGAGCATATTTATAGTACAGGATATAGCAGTGCCAGTAGCACTGATAGAAATGTCAAGATTAAGAGAACTGTCACAGACATTATGGCAAAATGTTGGGCAAAAGCAGAGGAAAGAATAGAAACAAATATAATTCTCCGAGATCTGAGAGCTGTACATGGTGCTTATGTGGACCATGGTATGACTTAGTTTTACTACTGTTAATTCACAAATTATTGCGTGCATTTATTATCTGATTATTGTGATTTTTTAAGAAAGGACAAAAATGAAATTTACAATTACAACAATCAATGAAAACTCAAAAAAAATTAATTAAAAACAAATTAGCAATTTTCAAGGATTTATATAGAACACTTTTGTGAGTAGTAGAAAAGAAAAATATGAATTTTCCCCAATATGTGAAACATGCATCTCCTCTCATAAACAGTACAGTGGCTACTGAGAATCAAGCATGAAAACACCTGAAATAAAAGGTTAATGAAAACATCTGAAATGAAATGTGTATGAAAACACCTGAAATAAAGGTGCATGAAAATAACCCTTTTACCACCTGCATTATACAAGACCTTGAAATGCAAACAATAATTATGGCCAAGATTTAACTGTCCCCTTCTAAGAGTCAAATTGCAAACAAAGCACACTACATGCACTACGAACCCAATATAAATTAAGGTGGTTTATAGTAAACAATGTATTCCATTACAGAGTACCATCGTGAATATTCAGAGATTAATGAAAGTGATTTAGAATCATTTACTCCCTCACCAGACCAGTTAGCAAGATCCTCGATGGTAGAAATTCCCAACATACAGAAGTATTTAGAATGCGACAGCAATACACATTGGCCAGCTGAAGGTACAAATCTTTATTAATGTTGTAAGGAGGGGAGATACAGGGAGAATGTCATTGTTATAAAAGTGATATGGGGAGAATGTCAATGTAATAAGCAGAGATACAGGGAGAATGTCATTGTTATAAAAGTGACATTGGGAGAATGTCAATGTAATAAAGGGAGATACAGGGAGAATGTCAATGTAATAAAGTGAAATACAGGGAAATTTCTACATATTAAGGGGAGATACAGGGAGAATGTCATTGTTAAAAAAAAATGGAGAGTATGTCAATGTAATCAGCGGAGATGCAGGGAGAAGGTCAATGTAAAAAAGGGAGATGCAGAAAGAATGACAATGTAATAAAGGGAGATGCAGGGAAAATGTCAATGTAAATAAAGGGAAATGCAGGGAGAATGTCATTGTAATAAAGGGAGATACAGGGAAAATGTCAATGTAATTAAGGGAGATGCAGGGAGTATGTCATTGTAATAAAGGGAGATACAGGGAAAATGTCAATGTAATAAAGGGAGATGCAGGGAGAATGTCAATGTAAATAAAGGGAAATGCAGGGAGAATGTCAATGTAATAAAGGGAGATGCAGGGAGATTGTTAATATAATAAAGGGAGATGCAGGGAGAATGTTATTGTAATAAAGGGAGATACAGGGAGAATGTCAATGTAATTAAGGGAGATTCAGGGAGAATGTCATTGTAATAAAGGGAGATGCAGGGAGAATGTTATTGTAATAAAGGGAGATGCAGGGAGAATGTCTATGTAATAAAGGGAGATAAGGGAGAATGTCAATGTTATAAAGGGAAATACAGTGAAAATGTCAATGTAATAAAGGGAGATGAGGTAGAATGTCAATGTAATAAAGGGAAAAACAGGGAGAATGTCAATGTAATAAAGGGAGATACAGGGAAAATGTCAATGTAATAAAGAGAAATAAAGGGAAATGTCAATGTAATGAAGGTAAATACATGAAGAGTGTCATTGTAATAAAGGGAGATGCAGGGAGAATGTCATTGTTATAGAGGGAGATGCAGGGAGAATGTCGTTGTAATAAAGGGAGATGCAGGGAGAATGTCATTGTAATAAAGGGAGATACAGGGAAAATGTCAATGTAATAAAGGGAGATACAGGGAAAATGTCAATGTAATAAAGGGAAATAAAGGGAAATGTCAATGTAATGAAGGGAAATACATGGATAGTGTCATTGTAATAAAGGGAGATACAGGGAGAATGTTAATGTAATAAAGGGATAGGACAGAATGTCAATATAATAAAGGGAGATACAGAGAGAATATCAATGTAATAAAGGGAGATACAGGGAGAATGTTAATGTAATAAAGGGATAGGGCAGAATGTCAATGTAATAAAGGGAGATACAGGGAAAATGTCAATGTAATAAAGGGAAATAAAGGGAAATGTCAATGTAATGAAGGGAAATACATGGATAGTGTCATTGTAATAAAGGGAGATACAGGGAGAATGTCAATGTAATAAAGGGAGATACAGGGAAAATGTTAATGTAATAAAGGGAGATAAGGGAGAATGTCAATGTAATAAAGGGAAATGTCAATGTAATGAAGGGAAATACATGGATAGTGTCATTGTTATAAAGGGAGATACAGGGAGAATGTCAATGTTATAAAGTGAGATACAGGGAAAATGTCAATGTAATAAAGGGAAATAAAGGGAAATGTCAATGTAATGAAGGGAAATACATGGATAGTGTCATTGTAATAAAGGGAGATACAGGGAGAATGTCAATGTAATAAAGGGAGATACAGGGAGAATGTTTATGTAATAAAGGGATAGGGCAGAATGTCAATGTAATAAAGGGAGATACAGAGAGAATATCAATGAACTAAAAGGAGACATTGGGAGAACGTCAATGTAATAAAGGGACAGGGGAGAATATAAATGTAAAAAATGTTTGATTATTTCAACTTCAGGTCAAGTAATGGTATCAAAATTTTAATTGTGATTTTTTTTTAATTTCAGAAGCCTGATGTGGCAATTTTTTTAAGAGCATCTAAAATACTTTTCAATTTACAGTATAAGATGTGTAATATGTTACTGTTTGATTATCTCCCTTGTAGATATGAGAGTTAATTTAAAGTCTCAACAGATATCACCACAGTCTGCAGGAAGGAGAGGTTTCACTGAGCCATGTCGTGACAAACTCTTTCGCAGTAACAAACTCCTAGATTTTAAATTCCTGATTGACAGCAAGCGGCTGAAACTTCAAGTAGGAAAAATTGGAGCTGTAAGTTCAATATTTGTATTTGTGTTTTACTACAAAAATCAGCATTTCATGTTATACTATTATCATTAGGAAACTTTGAACTTGTTTTCTGTTTATATTATAATGTAATTACATCATCATTCTAGGAGTGGGGCCATATTGCAATCACATCTGTAGTCCGTCTGTCTTCGGTCTGTTTGTCCAACAAATTTTTGTTCGTAATTTTACTCAGAAATTATCGAACATAATGACTTGATACTTGGTGAGCAGCTAGGCAGTGATGAGTTGTTGACAAAGCCCCTTTTGGATTTATCTGATACTTAATTCCTGTTTACAGATATTATTATACATATATAAAGTTATAAAGTTATAAAGATGTAGTATGATTGCCAACGAGAGACCTATTAACACAAGACCAAATAAAGTAAATGTTAGCAACTATAGGTCACTGTAAAGCCTTCAATAATGAGCAAAACCCTGATACTGTATAGTATTTTAAGTACCAGTCTTTGTAAGAATCAGGCAATTTTGAAAAAAACCAAAACATGGCCAAAAAACACACCGACCTAACCATCCAATTTTGAAGTAACCCTCATCCTGAGTTAGAAATGGTAGGTCTTTCATTTCTGTGTGTCTGGTAATTCCAGATATTTCTAGATACATTTTGGTTAGAATGATAGCAAATTACGGAGTTAGCTCCCCTTAATTGTTAATTTCTAGTGCATTTCAACCAAATTATATCTTGAATTACCAGAACAGGACAAGGATACGAATGTTATATTCCTGCATCATTATATATTTTGAACATAAATTAATGTCAACTTGAGTGGGTTTTTGTTTGTCAAATTTGAAAAATGTTCAGTTGAAATAAATTAAGATTACTTAATGCAGAACTGTTTAAGGCCTGTTCCATTAAAATGAATGTGGGAGGATAGGAAAGGACTTTCAAAATCAAACCACAACCAAAAACTTTTATGTGTAATTTTGTGTTCATCATATGGACATACAGCCACAAATGACCCATGACCCCTGTCCAAAAATTAAACTACCTTTCTAATCTCCTAAATTCATTTTAATGGAATAACCCTAATTATAAATATAATCCTAAAATGATTCCAGGGACATTATGGAGAAGTTAAAAAAGGCTATCTGATTACAAGTGCCCAGGACACATCATCACAAAAACAACAGGTGGCAGTCAAGATTTTGAAGGATAGTCGTTATCAGTCTGTCATGGAGAATGATGAATTTAGAAACGAGGCTGAACTAATGTCAGCACTGCGACATGAAAATATTGTTCGTTTTATAGGCGTCAGTGACAACAGTATGTATACTTAATAGATCTTTTTTTTTATTATACTCATTGCATGATGATGAATTCTTTCCACAGTTACAAGTACTTGGATACTAGTGTAGTGATTCTGATAAGACGGTTTACTGAGTTACAAGTACTTGGATACTAGTGTAGTGATTCTGATAGACTGTTTACTGAGTTACAAGTACTTGGATACTAGTGTAGTGATTCTGATAAGACGGTTTACTGAGTTACAAGTACTTGGATACTAGTGTAGTGATTCTGATAGACTGTTTACTGAGTTACAAGTACTTGGATACTAGTGTAGTGATTCTGATAGACTGTTTACTGGTCTACTTTCATAGTAAATATAAGTAATTTTATGACTTGAATTCATGTAACACCTACAAAACATGTAAACAATACTGTAAATTCAGAAATTATTGTGAGATTTTTACTATGAATACCCGACAGACCAAAGTTCCAGTGGGTATTATGTTTTTTACCCGTCTGTCCGTCTGTCAGTCAGTCCTTCCATCTGTCCGTCCGTTAGTCCTGTTCTTGTCATTGCAACTCCTCTGAAACCACACAACCGAATTTCATTAAACTTTGTAGATAAATATGACATTAGATGTAGATGTGCATATCGACAGGAAATTTTGATTCAATTTTTTTTTCTAGGAGTTGTGACCTTTGCACTTAAACTTTTGGCCTCAATATACTACTGCAGCAGTTTGTCATCCCATCTCCTTTGAAACCATACAACAGAATTTCATGAAACTTTGTAGATGATAAGGACATAATATGTAGATGTGCATATCCACAAAAATGTTTCATTAGTTGACTTTTGTAGGAGTTACTTGTCTTTGGGGTAACAATCTGCTCTATTCCCCTCTCAGCTATGTATTATCTATTTGTTTCAGTGCTTGTAATGGAGTATATAGAGAAAGGATGTATGAGAGATTACCTGAAGAAGAAAAAGAAAGAGAAAAATATGTTGTCTGTCACTAAAATATTAAGGATATGTGCTGATATAGCTGATGTGAGTATTGTGATAGATAGCTAACATCCCTCCCCACACTTTGTCATCAGGAATCTTAACGGATTTGTTTGTCATATTTAAGGTAGCACAATACAAAGATTTTTTTACTTCCAATCTCCAACCTTTAAAATGATGTTACTTTCTTATGACTGCATACAAATTAATAAAAGAGGTATATATAGATAGATAAAAGATTAATCTTTTAAATGAATGATATATTTTTGTTATGCAATCGTTATGTAATCAATTATTATGCAATTAATGGCAAAATTTTGGTCAGTTCACTTGAATGAATTTAGCTCTGACATCTCTATAACTACACAAGAAATTTTAACGTTATCTTAATCAACACAGCAGGAGCTACAAAAGGGTGTCTCAAATTATCGCTATCGTATTCCATTCTCTCATAAATCTGTAATTAGTGTAAACATCCTTACCACATAAAAGTAGAGATTATTTGATTATGTTTAAAATTTGATCTATACATTCTATCCAAAATCTGAGACACCCTTTTGTAGATAATGGCTCTAGGAACAACATATTATAAAATTAACCCTCTTGGGGTAACCATGAAGAAGCTAATTTCAATTGAAAGTGGAAATTTCTTGTAAAATTTTGTAGACACAGTTAAAATTATAATTGATTACATAATTGTTGTATAATACTAACATTGCATTAATTTGAAAGAGTAATCTGTTAGCTATCCATAAATACCACTTTTATAAATTTTCAAGCATTATAAAGAAAGTTACAGCGTTTTAAAACTGGGGAGTTAGAGGTATAAAATCTTTGTATTGTGCTACCTTAAATGTTGGAGTAATGTGGACTCATTATTATTTGTTGGATACCAATTTTCATGTATTTCGTGTGTAAACGTGAAACAACGAAAATGTTTAAGGAAGTTGAATTTTCTAAAGGCTTGTATGCAGACTTTGGCATAACCGAGAAATTTCTATTTTTTCCCCATCCACGAAATTGGTACCCATGAAATAAATAGATCCACAGTATTGGATGTTGATGGAAGATCTTTGATTGTTTCTATTAAATTTATTCACAGAATTTATAGACTCTGGATGGTTCATATCTTGACATATTGTGTAGACACCTGTCTGTTGTTGAAGTATGTTACCCCGGTACTGTAAATTCAGAAATTATTGCCAGGTTTTTATTAATGCCAATAATGCAATAATAAGAACTCGCATTGCGATAACTAAAACATACATCTGTATGTAGATTTTTCTGAAATCGCAATAATTAAACTCGCATTCTTGTCCATTTTTGAAAAATCGCAATAATTTCTGAATTTACAGTATGTTGCCCTCTAGATTTTTGATTTTGTTTACGTTGGGTTGTTGTCACATTGATGTAAATCCCACATCTCTTCATATTGTACTGACTTTACCACGTTCTCTTCCCTTGAATGAGACTTTTCATGTAATTTTTAGAAACAGGGGGATGCCACATGTGGAGCAGAATCTTCTTTCCATTCAGGAGTACCTGGGATCAACCCTGGTTTTTGATGGGGTTTATGTAACTATGAAATTTAATTTTTCAAATTTGTGTTTTGCAGATTGTTGTTTGTCTTTTCATCACTTGTGTCTGTCGTCCGTTAACTTTTACAAAAATATTCTCCTCTGAAACTACTGGGCCAAATTTAACCAAACTTGACCACAATCATCATTTGGGTATCTAGTTTAAAAAATGTGTCTGATGACCCAGCCCGCAAACCTAGATGGCCGCCATGGCTTAAAATAGAACATTGGGGTAAAATGTAGATTTTGGCTTATATCTCTAAACCAATGCATTTAGAGCAAATCTGACATGGGGAAAATTGTTTATCAGATCAAGATCTATTTGCCCTAAAATTTTCAGATGAATCAGACAACCCGTTGTTGGGTTGCTGCCCCTGAATTGGTAATTTTGAGGAAACTTTGCATTTTTTTTGCCCATAACGAAGCGGAGGGGGCATTAAGTTTTACCCTTGTCCCTCTGTCCATATGTACATACGTACGTCCGTACGTCCCAAAATTGGTTTCCGTTCTCTAATTTAAGTTTGCTTATTACCACAAAACACAGATCAAGTTTGAACTTTGGTGACGTCACTTCAACCGTTCTAGAGTTATGCCCTTTATAAATGGAAAAATTGCAAAATTTTTCATTTCCTTTCTCTAACTTAAGTTTGCCTCAACCAAATGTTATGAAACTTATACACAATGCTTATTACCACAATACACAGATCAAGTTTGAAATTTGGTGGCGTCACTTTTACTGTCTAGAGTTATGTCCCTTTACAAATTGAAAAAAAATGCTAAATTTTTCATTTTTTTTCTAAAAATATCAATGATGTCATTGTTCAAGTAATTTTTAAAATTGGAGTTATCTTCCTTTGTACATGATTATAGTTGAATCAACTACAATCAATGCTTTATACAATGCAATGTTTAATTTTGCCTTCCACTGATAAAACACAGATAAGTTGAATTTGGTTAGTGTCACTTTAACCATTATTGAGTTATGCCCCTTTATAAATCGAAAAATTGCAAAATTTTTAGTTTCCGTTCTGTAACTTAAGTTTGCCCCAACCAAACATGAAACCTATACACAATACTTATTACCGCAAAACTAAGATCAATTACAAATTTTGGGTAGCGTCACTTTAATTGTTCTTGAGTTATGTCCCTTTATTATGTTGTATGCAAGCGGGGGCATCATCTGTGTCCATGGGGACACATTCTCCATTTATTTGGTTATTATAATGAATATTATTATAGATAGAGATAAACTGTAAACAGCAATAATCTTCAGTAAAGTAAGATTTACAAATAAGTAAAACATGACCAAAATTGTCAATTGACCCCTTAAGGAGTTATTGTCCTTTAAAGTAAATTTTGAACCATTTTTATACGACCGCAAAAATTAAAAATTTTTTGGTTGTATATTGGTATAACGTTGGCGTCGTCGTCGTCGTCCGAAGACACATTGGTTTTCGCACTCTAACTTTAGTTTAAGTGAATGGATCTCCATGAAATTTTACCATAAGGTTCAATACCACAAAAGGAAGCTTGGGATTGATTTTGGGGGTTATGGTACCAACAGTTAAGGAATTAGGGGCCAAAAATAAGCATTTTTGTATCTTCCAGACATAACTTGTGTGTTAGTGTATGGATCTCTCTGAGATTGTACCACAAGGTTCCATATCACAAAGGGAATGCTGGGATTGATTTTGGGGTAATTGCCTCAAAATTTTAGGAATTAGGGGCCAAAAAAGGGGCAAAAAACAAGCATTTTTCTAGTTTCATGATAATAACTTGTGTGTATGTGTATGGATCTTTCTGAAATTGAACTACAAGGTTCCATATCACAAAGGGAAAGCTGGAATTGAGTTTGGGGGTGATTGCCCAAAACGTTTAGGAAAAAGGGGCCAAAAATAGCATTTTTCTAGTTTCCAGACAATAACTTGTGTTCAAGTTTATGGATCTCTCTGAAATTGTACTGCAAGGTACCATAGCACAAAAGGGAAGGCTGGGATTGATTTTGGGGGTAATTGCCTTAAAATTTTAGGAATTAGGGGCAAAAAAGGGGCAAAAAACAAGCATTTTTCTAGTTTCAGGACAATAACTTGTGTGTAAGTATATGGATCGTTATGAAATTGTACTGCAAGGTTCCATATCACAAAAAGAAAGCTGGGTTTGAGTTTGGGGGTAATTGCCCTAAATGTTTAGGAATTTGGGGCCAAAAAGGGGCCTAAAAACAAGGATTTTTCTAGTTTCCAGACAATAACTTGTGTTCAAGTGTATGGATCTCTCTGAGATTGTACTGCAAGGTACCATACCACAAAGGGAAGGCTGGGATTGAGTTTGGGGGTGATGAATCATAAGGGGGTTCAAAAAATTTAGGGGAGGGATTTTTTTTCTTTAAAATTTTCCATTTTATATTGGTTATTTCGGATTTATATATAAACATGATAAAAGCAAATAATAATGATATGGTTTGAATAGGTAAATTAAAAAATTTTAAGTTCATAGACCACATTCATTCTGTGTCAGAAACCTATGCTGTGTCAAATATTTAATCACAATCCAAATTCAGTGCTGTATCAAGCTTGAATGTTGTGTCCATACTTGCCCCAGCTGTTCAGGGTTCGACTCCTGCGGTCGTATCAAGCTGCGCCCAGCGGAGCTTTTTTTTGTAAATTTTTGTAATCTTTTACAAAAATCTTCTCCTCTGAAACTACTGAGACAAATTTAACCAAATTTGGCCACAATTATCATTAGGGTATCTTGTTTAAAAAAAGTGTCCGATGACCCCGCCTGCCAACGAACATGGTTGACATGGCTAAAAATAGAACATAGGTGTAAAATGCAGTTTTTGGCTTATATCTTTGAAACTAAAGCAAAAGTATGATGGTTGCATTATTTCATGCATCAATTGTAAACAAAAATATCAGGTGAGCGTCACAGGCTCCTTGGAGCCTCTAGTTTATGTTTTTTGCCTTGGTGTTACATGTACTGTTTATCTTCAACTTATGAGTTTGAATATCCCTTTTGTATCTTCCACCTCTCTTGTGTATTCCATGTTTCTCTTTTTTGAAGTGAAGACCAAACAGAAGGATAATTTGTTTCTTCCATATATTTTTTCATCTTTACTTGTGTAAAATCCCTTGATCAGAAAGGACATCAATGCACTGTTTCATGTGAGGCGTAATCAATAACTGTATGCTTAAAAACTAAAGGAATCTTTATCTGAAATTTTAATATTGTTTTGCAGGGAATGGCATACTTAGCCTCTAAAAGAATTTTACACTGTGACCTGGCAGCCAGAAATGTTCTCTTGAGTTCAGATATTCGAGCCAAAATATCAGACTTTGGATTGGCCAAATTGCTAGATAAAGAAAAAGATTACTATAGAAGATCAGAAAATAAGAATTTACCCGCTTGGTGGTAAGTCCTGTGTAAAGATTTAGGAAGTTTGGGATACAAACATCTGTTAGCAGTTTTATTACAAAGATCGACAATAGGGGCAGGACTGGTATGCATAAAATCACTTAAGCTAAGATATCCACTCGTAACACTAATTTATTGTAGGACATGTAGAAAAATCCATCCGTTCGGAACAAATCTTAAGTAGCTTTATGCATACGAGCCTTGTATATTTGTTGTAAGGAATGATTGTAAAATGTACATGTCTGTCTGGCCAGGTTCATCTTATTTTGACCTCATTTACATGGATCATTGATAATGTAAAGATTATGTGATACTTGTATTAATACCCTCATATTTCAGACTTTCAACATTATTTCAGTCATAAGATAAGATAAGATAATTTTTATTTCAGACTCAATAGGTCCATATTTATATACATGACACAAAATATTATGTTTAAATGGATGCAATGTTAAGATAATACATGTAAACAGTATTAATTATAGTCAAAAGTTAGGAGAGCCATTTCAGCATGTGCTCTCTTGTTGATATTTTCTTGTATCTTTAACAATGTTTTCAATTGTTAGGTGTTCGCCTGAGGCACTCACTTTTCGTAAATTTTCCCCAAAAGCTGATGTCTGGAGTTATGGTGTTGTTTTATGGGAAGGGTTTACTCACAGCGATTCACCAAAAGTTTGTCCAGATGTCAAACATCTTTTGTCCTCAATCAATGCAGGAAAGCGTCTGCCAAAGCCTGATCTCTGTCCCGAGGATGTTTATTCATTTATGAATCTCTGTTGGAAGCATAAGCCTGAAGATCGACCAGAATTTAGTGAGGTCAATAAACGCTGCAGGTATGATGTACATGGTGTAATATTTTGGAAAAATATTGATTAGGTTCTAGCACATTAATCTAGTGTTAAAAAATAATTGAGCAGAATTAACAAATTGATACCCCCTCTTTTTGTATAGATACCTCTCAGAGTCTTATGATTTGCTAAAATAAATCCCCAAAATTTCTGTTTTTTTTCATTTTGGTTCTGCAACCTGAAAATGATATTCCAGTTGCAAGATAATAAAGGAACATTAATCTTTAAATTCAACATTCTAAGCTCCAGTGAGTTTGTCTGTGATATTTTAAAGTTGACATAGAAATTGAAATAAGTGACTTTATTTTCATAGTGAATTGATCTATATACATCAACAGAATAGAGAAGAAGCAGTGGTATATAAAAGAGAAACAGGTAAGTTTCACTTTAAGTTGTTTTGTCTCGACCACAATGAAAGTCAATGAAAGTCTTGAAAGTGTTCTGTTTCAAGCTTTTGAAGCATCAACATTGTTTCAATTTGTGATTAGTTTACACAAGCAAGAAATTTCTCTGTTTCAACAGTTTATTAGTCCCCTACCGACGAAGTTGAAGGGGACTTTAGGTTTGCACTCTGTCTGTATGTTTGTCTGTCTGTCTGTCTGTCTGTCTGTCTGTCTGTCTGTCTGTCTGTCTGTCTGTCTGTCTGTCTGTCCATCAGTCCGGCAAATCAGTTTTCCACACTTTTTTTCTTCATGCTTGAAGATATTGATTTGATAATTGGTATATAGTTTTATCATTATAAGTTACAGATCAAGTTCGAATTTTGTTCCAGTCTGATGATTTTGTGCAGAGTTATGGTCCTTGGACTTAAAAAATTCACTTAAATAATCAGTTTTCAACACTTTTTTTCGTCATGCTTGAAGATATTGATTTGATATTTGTTATATAGTTTACACCATGACAAGTTATAGATCAAGTTAGAATTTGTTCCAATGCAATGAATTTTTAACCTGTAGGGGACTTTGTATTGCCATGCAATACTCACAGAATGCTTGTTGACATATGTTATTTAATTTTCTCTTGTAAAAGTATTTTATATTCTTTTTTTTCAATGGTCAGGGTTTCACATCACCCTTATAGCACCACCTGACCAAGATGTTACCGGCTTTTAAGAAATATAACAGCAAATGACTCTTGTTTTACAAAGAAATGGAAAATATCAATCATTTGAAAATCTCTCATTGTCTCAAAATTTAAAATTTATTTGTAAAAGGCTTAGAAACGGGTAGAATTTGAGGCTTTGACTTGCATTTTCATCCTGTTTTTAGCTGAATACAAATCAAGTTTAAATTTCATAGCCTAAACATTCCTTGAAACTGCTTTAATTTCTTTCACAACATTATATATAGATAAATCATACCAATGTCAGAAACAAGGCACTTTTTGTCAGTGACTGTTTATCACAAATTAAATGTTTTTACAGTTCAGACAATTTATTCACTCCTTGTCGGATTGATTGATTGGTGATTGCTTTACGTCGCATCCATGTTTGATATTATGTTTTCAACAATAAGTTTTGTATACTGACACCTCCTTTCATTATCTGATATATATATACATATCATTTCAGTGTCATCAAATAGTCAGTCACAATCATCTTCTCGGAACACAGAGTCTAATTCAAGCCAATCAGATAGAAGCTCTCAGAGAGTTATGTCTGATTCTTCCAACCAATCGGAAGAACTTGCAGAAGCAAAGGAAGTGAATTTAGAACAAGAAGACAAAAGACAGGAAACTATTAATAACATAAGTCAAGCAAAACTTTTGAATAAAAAACTGATTGACAATGCACTAAAAGACACCAACAGTTCTGATGAAAAAAATCAAAATATACCAGAACCCATAACTCACTCACCAGAAACTAGAACAAGGACTGTGAGTCATAATTCTAAAGCACCACTCAGTCCAAGTAATCCAAAGTCAGCAATACCTTGCCGACAGACCGGACCTGTCAGTGCTAGCCCAAGTCCACCAAGACCAACAGTTCTTGTCCATCAGACAGGAGTGGTAGGAACGTCATTGCCACCGACACCCCCGGTACTGACACCATCAGCAACCATTCCTCTGAACTATTTGTTGGATAAAAAATTTATTCAATACAATCATATGAACATACTTGGTGCTGTAAGTATATATTATAGGAATTTACAGTAGCATACATGTGACAGAGTTGTCAAGTCACAACTGGAGATTTGAACATTTTCAGCTTGAGTTTGGGCCTCATAACTGGAGATTTTTTATTGACATATTTATCACCGTTTTTAGTGTTCATTTTGATGATAAAGCTACATATTTCTCCTTTTTTAAGATAACAGTATTAGTACTAACCCTTTCGCCGACGAATTCTGGTTTACCGGCATTTACGCTTCAAACAGCTGACGATGATTCCTGGTTTACCGTTATCAGAATACCTCTTTTATATCTCCCGCTAAAAAACATTGCAAAAACAAGTTATCCATCTTTGTTGAATACCCAGATGAAAGTGTAAACATGGCGCTTCCGTTTGTTGAAAAAAACAGATGAATTTACGGATTTTACTAGAATTTGAAACAAGGGGAAATTTATTTTGAAAGAATATGGACGTATTGAAGCCAGACTAGTATACTTTTTTTACATAAAATGCTGTTTTATGTACACAAACACTTGGACTGGACATCGGTCAGTGTAAGCAATTTGTATAACCTCATTAAAATTTTCAAACTTTTGCTGTTTTGGGTTAAAAAATTACGATTTTGGGTCAAAAGTCGAATTTCGTGATTTCATCTATTTGATGCTGAAAATTTGCAAATTTTGATTTTTTCTGACAAAAAAATTATCAAAACATGAACAAAACTGTGTCCATGGTGTATGTGAATAAGATAAAGACCTAAATCACTACAGACAAGTTTTTATTGATATTTGATATGAAGATATCCAACTTGTGTCATAATAGCCAGGGAAGCCATCGTCTCAGAGTAGCTTCTGTCAGGGCGGTTATCGGTGAAAGGGTTAATGTATTCTCTCTCTGTATTGTTACCATGTGAAATATTTGTAAACACTAAGCTATACTATTTGTATGTGACTTTTTTCCTTTTCTCATCTTTATTATTGTTAGTGTGTTTCTCAGTTTTATCATCCATTAATTATTAATGTGTTCTATAGTATTATTCCACTTTTCTGGCTAATTTTGATTTTGCCAGAAGTGAAGCCATATAATTATACAAGTTCTTTGATTTACAGGTAAAAATTACCTTCATCAGTGACACAAAAACGTAATTGATGAGGCCGCTCATGGGGATGTCCAAGTAATCACATAATCACAAATTTTTTGCCTATATAATCACATAATCATTAATTATTTTTTTAAACAAGATAATCAAATAATCAAAAATACAGTCCTAGATTATCAAATAATCAAATAATCATGAAGTATTTAATCTGGTAATCAAGTATAAAAACAGCCAAGTAATCACATAATCAAAAATCCCATGAGGAGGCTCATTAATGTTGACATCGATGGTAATAAGAAATACATGAAATAGAGACTGACACAAATTTTTTAGGGGTGAAATTTTGAAAAAAACTTTTGAATTATTAAAGGGAGGAACGGAAAAAGGCATAAAAATCGGGAGGTTTGACTCCCGCCTGAAGAATCACATGTCTGCAGTAGAACCTGTATATAAAGGTCACACTCAGGACTAGATCTACAGAAAACTGGTCTTCTAGAAATTTTAATTGAAGGTCAAAATGGCAAAATGTAAAGGTATTAGTAAACAAGTTAAAAAAAGATGGGGATGGAGAATTGTAAGTTGTCAGCTGGCACACAACTGAATGTGAAATAGACATAAAGGTGTGTACATCAGCAATATCTGAAATTAATTCCTAAATTGGCACCAATTAAATATTTTTTGGGGGAGTTATTCCCTTCAAATTGTAAATGATATCAACAGTATATATTCTCTGGCTCCTACATTTCTCATCCAATATATTTTTCAAAGGTTTATATCAATGATATCTGAGCCAAGTTTGACAAATCAGGGAATATCAATTATTTTTACAAGAGTTATGCCTATTAAAAATATAAATTATAAAGCAAATTCCATTATGTTGGTGGGGACATTGGCTACTCTACAGAAATCTGTTAAAATTAAATTGCTTTTATTTTCAAGACACCATTAACCCGAGTTCCCGCAGATTTTAATGAACGTGTTTGTGTTGTCAGAGGCTTGTTTCGTCATGCATTTATTATTGCGTAACCTTGACCATTAGTAAAAATGCAAAATCTAATTAATGCCATTGCAAAATTTTTATGAATGAAAATCACTTCTGAATTTATGAATGGGAGTTTTTATTATTGTGAACCTGATACTGTAACTTTTTTGCATTAATAAAAACATTGCAATAATTTCTGAATCTACACACAAGTGATCAAATTGAAATATGCTAAAATGGCTGAAATGTTTATGGTAATTAGTCTTTATTGAAATACATGATACATTTTTTACAGGGAAATTTTGGTGTGGTGTTCAAAGGTACTTTAAGAAAGAATGGTCGGGATATAAATGTGGCGATAAAAACTTTAAAAGAAAATAGTGTAAATAGCAAGGAAGAAATTGAGACAGAAGTGAAAATACTGGAAGATCTTGACCATCCAAATATCGTCAAGTTTTATGGCTTCTGCAGGACAGGTGAGAAATGACTTAATGAAATAAAATCTGTCTTTAATTGAAATTTAAGTGCAGTCTTCTATATCTTAAGACTGAGGCTTTCATGGTTTATTGTGACTTTTCATGATATTAAATGTTGGAAAAGTGGGTAACTAATTTGTGTAATCAACTCCTCCCACAGTTTTCCACCCAGATCCTTGAATCTTTACAGGAAGATTGCACTTATGTTGAAGTTGTGCACCTGTACAATTATGGAATTATTTGACAAGTTTCTTGATTTTTCCAGACTTTAGAACTTAGTCGTTTTTCAACAAAATTTATGAAAGCAAGTACAAGTTTTGTGTAATCAACTATAGTTTTTAACCCAAATCCCTGAAATTTCACAGAATAATTGTACAAATGTTGATGTTGTGCACATTATGTAAATGTTTGAAGAGTTTTTCACATTTTTCAGACTTCAGAACTTAATTAGTTATTTTCCAGCAAAATTTACAAAAGAGGGTACCAATTTTTGTAATCAACTCCTCTTACAGCTTTCAACTCAGAAAAAAATCCACCAGTTTTCTGTGCACACAAACTAACCCTTTGCCCATCATGACTGTATGTTTGAAAGAATATATAAACATACAACAAATTAAATATGCATACCATATTTTTCAGACTGTTTACTGGTGATGGAATTGGTTGACAATGGATCAATCATTAAATTTTTACAGAAATGTAAATATGAGAAACAAGATTTAGAAACCAAAAAACTTCTAAATTTATGTCTTGGTATTGCTGAGGTAAGATTTAGACAATTGTATTTAGGATAACTAATTATAAATTAATCAACCTGAAGGAACATGTTTGATTTTCATTTCAATTTTGATTGTAATAGAAAACATTTAGCTGGCATTGTTTGTTCTCATCTTTTAAATTTAATACCTACCTATTGTATTTATTGTGAACTTGTTCTCGTCCTGAATATGCATGAAATATTTGCCACTGGACGTTAAGCAACCAACAATCAATCAATCAATTTAAATTCAATGCAAAATTTAGAAATATGAAACATTGAATTCAATTTGATTCATTTTTAGCTCACCTGGCTTAAAAGTCAAAGTGAGCTTTTCTCATCACTTGTCATTCAACGTTCGTAGACATCCGTCGTCCTACGTCGTCGTCATCTGTTCACTTTTACATAAATCTTCTCCTCTGAATCCACTGGGCCAGATTTAACCAAACTTAGCCACAATCATCATTGGTTTATCTAGTTTAAAAAATGTGTCCGATGACCCCAGCTTGCCAACCATGATGGCTGACATGGCTAAAAATAGAACAGAGGGATAAAATGCAAATTTTGCCTATTATATAGAAAACCGCTATAGATAGAGAAATTATGACTGGGCAAAAATGTTCAAAATGTTGTGCTCTACCTTTTGTCTGTTTGTCTGTAGGAGTTATTGCCCTTAAATGACGATTTTTACCATTTTTATGCCCCCGCCATATCAGAGGGGGCATTAAGTTTTACCCTTGTCCGTCTGTACGTACGTCTCAAAATTGGTTTCCCTTCTCTTACTTGAGTTTGCCTCAACCAAATGTTATTAAACTTATACACAATGCTTGTTACCACCACATACAGATCAAGTTTGAATTTTGGTAGCATCACTTTAACCGTTCTAGAGTTATACCCCTTTATAAATGGAAAAAATGCAAAATTTTTAGTTGCGTTCTCTAACTTAAGTTTGCCTCAACCAAATGTTATGAAACTTATACACAATGCTTGTTACCACCAAATACAGATCAAGTTTGAATTTTGGTAGCATCACTTTAACCGTTCTAGAGTTATGCCCCTTTATAAATGGAAAAATTACAAAATTTTTAGTTTCCGTTCTCTTTGGTAGCGTCACTCCAACTGTTCTAGAGTTATGTCCCTTGATAAATGGAAAAATTGCAAAATTTTTAGTTTCTGTTCTCTAACTTAAGTTTGCCTCAAACAAATTTTATGAAACATATGCACAATGCTTATTACCACAAAATAAAGATTAAGTTTGAAATTTGGTGGGGTCACTTTAACCATTCTCGAGTTATGCCCCTTAATAAATCGAAAAAAATGCATATTTTTTAGTTTCCGTTCTCTAACTTAAGTTGCCTCAACCAAATGTTATGAAACTTATACACAATGATTATTACCACAAAATAAATATCAAGTTTGAATTTTGGTGGGGTCACTTTAACCATTCTTGAGTTATGCTCCTTTATAAATCGAAAAATTGCAAAATTTTAGTTTCCTTTCTGTAACTTAAGTTTGCCCCAACCAAACATTATGAAACCTATACTTATTACCTTAGAACTCAGATCAAGTACAAATTTGGGTAGCGTCATTTTTATAGTTCTTGAGTTATGTCCCTTTATAATGTTGTATGCAAGCGGGGGCATCATCTGTGTCCATGGGGACACATTCTCCATTTATTTTAAAAAAAATTCCTATTATCCTGAAAATTATAATATATAGACAGTTATTGCCCTGTAATGATGATTTTTACCTATATTTTGTGTTTTTGCCTTATATCTTACAAACTAAAATAGTTAGATAGAAACAATACAAGCAAAAACGAACAACAAAACAAGATCTACAAATTACATCAACATAACCAGAATCGTTAGTCGACACCTTACTGAAGTTATTGCCCTTTAATGATGATTTTTCCAATTATTGCCAATTATATTGAAAACTGTTATAGATAGATAGAAACTTAAAATAGCACAAATGATCAACAAGACAAGATCTACAAATGAGCCAAAAATCCTGAAATCTAAAGTAGACTCGTTTTTAAGTTATTGCCCGTTAAGGATAATTTTTTACATTTTTTGCATTGTTTGCCTATTACATTGAAAACTTTATTAGGAAAAAAGAAACTTTGAAAGGAAAAATTATCAGCAGGATAAGATCTACAAATATGTCAACATGACTGAAATTGACAGCTAACTCTTAATAGAGTTGTTCCCCTGTAATGCTAATTTTTACCAAAAAAAATGGTAATATTTAAAGATGCAGGTGAGGCTCTAGTTTTTAAATCCAGAATTTCTAGCACTGGGTTGAGTATTAGTCTCTGAGGGTATCATCAGCTCAGTATGTAGTCAGTGTTTTCTGTACTGGTATGATTTTTAACATACCTTTCTTAAATTATCTGTTGATAAATTTACAATTTCTTTTTGTCCAGCCTTCGACTTTTGTCGAAAAAGCGAGACATAGCGATCCTACATTCCGTAGGCGTCGGCCACAAATATTCACTCTGTGGTTAAAGTTTTTGAAATTTTAATAACTTTCTTAAACTATCCTGGATTTGTACCAAACTTGGACAGAAGCTTGTTTATGATCATAAGATAATATTCAAAAGTAAATTTTGTAAAAAAAAAAAAAAAAATTTTCCGTATTTTACTTATAAATGGACTTAGTTTTTCTGCTAGGAAACATTACATTCACTCTGTGGTTAAAAGTTTTTGAAATTTTAATAACTTTCTTAAACTATCCTGGATTTCTACCAAACTTGGTACGAAGCTTGTTTATGATCATAAAATAGTATCCAGGAGTAAATTTTGTAAAAAAAAAATTCCATTTTTTCCGTATTTTACTTATAAATGGACTAAGTTTTTCTGCCAGTTAACATTACATTCACTCTGTGGTTAAAGTTTTTAAAATTTTAACAACTTTCTTAAACTATCCTGGATTTGTACCAAACTTGGACAGAAGCTTGTTTATGATTAAAAGCTAGTATCTAGAAGGAAATTTTGTTCCATTTTTTTCGTATTTTACTTATAAATGGACTTAGTTTTTCTTTCAGTTAATATCACATACAGTCTACAGTTTAAGTTTTTAAAACATTTATTAGATTCATAAACTATCCTGGATTTTCACCAAACTTAGACAGAAGCTACTTACAATCAAAAGGTAGTATAGAGAGGAATATTTTTATTAATTTTTTCCCTCATTTTTGTTGAGCCTGCGATTAACAGCAAAAGTAGGTGCTAATTTCTTAAACTAATGTTCCAACTCCATCAGAGGGGCTTTTATTTCAGGTCTCTTTTGGTCATTATAACTCTTCATGTGTTTCCATATCTATACATCCTTGGCTTTGAGTGTTCCTTGTAAAGGTAAATCCAGAAAAGCACATCAGGCAAATAAAATAATAAAGTGCTATATTCAATACCGAAAATAGAAAAATAAGGTAAAACAAATATTCATGGAATTGTTACTAAAGGCTGTTTGGACTATAATGGAGATTGATATGTAAAGGAAAATAACTAAATTTTGTATTTCATTGAAACATTCTTGGCATGAACTTAAACAAGACTTGATTTGATTTTTTTCTTTTTGGTGTGATAAGTTTCAACAATTTAGTGCATTTACTATGCCTAATTGCTTCTCTAACTATAAATACTGTAAAACCTCGAAGAATCTAAGTCAAAGGGACCTTACTCTTCTCAGGCTTGTCATATGATGGAGATTTACTATTCTCCTGTTTTAATAGCTGACTGTCACAGGTAGCCCCAAGGTCATTAAACACCCCTGTAGTAGTTTTTGTCTCGCCTTAAAAACATATTAAAAGTAAATTACATTATAAAATAAAGATTCCTGCACAATCATGACAATATTTAAGATTTATATATTTTGCAGGGAATGAAGTATTTATCAGAGAGAAACATTATACACTGTGATTTAGCTGGCAGGAATGTGCTATTGACCAAAGATCTTACAACCAAGATATCAGATTTTGGGTTGGCCAAATTACTGCAGGAGAAGGCTTATTACAGACGATCAGGAGATAAGAAAATGAATGTTCACTGGTACGCAGTTGTAAATAATTGTATCACATTAAGGTGGTACCTAACACTACAGGGAGATAACTCTGTAAAAATCAGCTAAACGTTTTAATTACGTTGTATTGTTAAGGAAATATTAAGCTTCTCAATGATCAAAATTAGTGTTTGTCAAACTGCAATATAACCAATGAAATTTTTCTGATAAAGTGGTTGGTTCAAATTTTTTGAAATTTTTATATTTTTGTCAAAGGGTCAAAGTAAACATTTTGTCAAAATTTTATGAAAATTAAACGAGCCAAATTAATATTAGTCAAGGTGTTGGGTACCACCTCAATACATAGTTTTGTAGAATTTGATGAGTAATTTTATTATGTTTAGTATATGTTGATCGATTGATTATTGCTTGCTTAACACACAGTGGCAATTATTACATGCATATTTAGGATGAGTTTGGTATATGTGACATACGAGACAGTAACCAACCAAAAGACAACTAGAGATCAAAATAGTTGTCAAAAAATGACAAGCAGAAACATATGATTATGTGGTGGGGTTGCCCCCTCAGTCATGGCCTATTGACTTCAAAACTTTTCCTAACTTGGGACATGATTATGTGGTGGGGTTGCCCCCTCAGTCATGGCCTATTGACTCTGAAACTTTTCCTGACTTGGGACATGATTATGTGGTGGGGTTGCCCCATCAGTCATGGCCTATTGACTTGGATACTTTTCCTGACTTGGGACATGATTATGTGGTGGGGTTGCCCCCTCAGTCATGGCCTATTGACTCTGAAACTTTTCCTGACTTGGGACATGATTATGTGGTGGGGTTGCCCCCTCAGTCATGGCCTATTGACTTCAAAACTTTTCCTAACCGGGGACATGATTATGTGGTAGGTTTGCCCCCTCAGTCATGGCCTATTGACTTTGAAACTTATCCTGACTTAGGACATGATTATGTGGTGGGGTTGCCCCCTCAGTCATGGCCTATTGACTCTGAAACTTTTCCTGACTTGGGACATGATTATGTGGTGGGGTTGCCCCCTCAGTCATGGCCTATTGACTTCAAAACTTTTCCTAACTTGGGACATGATTATGTGGTGGGGTTGCCCCCTCAGTCATGGCCTATTGACTCTGAAACTTTTCCTGACTTGGGACATGATTATGTGGTGGGGTTGCCCCATCAGTCATGGCCTATTGACTTGGATACTTTTCCTGACTTGGGACATGATTATGTGGTGGGGTTGCCCCCTCAGTCATGGCCTATTGACTCTGAAACTTTTCCTGACTTGGGACATGATTATGTGGTGGGGTTGCCCCCTCAGTCATGGCCTATTGACTTCAAAACTTTTCCTAACCGGGGACATGATTATGTGGTAGGTTTGCCCCCTCAGTCATGGCCTATTGACTTTGAAACTTATCCTGACTTAGGACATGATTATGTGGTGGGGTTGCCCCCTCGGTCATGGCCTATTGACTTTGAAACTTTTCCTAACTGGGGACAGGATTATGTGGTGGGGTTGCCCCCTCAGTCATGGCCTATTGACTTGGATACTTTTCCTGACTTGAGACATGATTATGTGGTGGGGTTGCCCCCTCAGTCATGGTCTATTGACTTTGAAACGTTTCCTGACTGGGGACATGATTATGTGGTGGGGTTGCCCCCTCAGTCATGGCCTATTGACTTGGAAACTTTTCCTAACTTGGGACATGATTATGTGGTGGGGTTGCCCCCTCAGTCATGGCCTATTGACTTTGAAACGTTTCTTGACTGGGGACATGATTATGTGGTGGGGTTGCCCCCTCAGTCATGGCCTATTGACTTTGAAACTTTTTCTGACTTAGGACATGATTATGTGGTGGGGTTGCCCCATAAGTCATAGTCTATTGACTTGAAAACTTTTCCTGAGTGTACAATTTTAAAAGTATGTGATTAGGTCACTTCAAGAGGAACAACTAATGGAAGGTCAAAAATATTTAATAGGTAGTTGTTTTAGCATTGGCACATCTAATTTTTATGGAGATTATTTGGTCACACCCCAAGGGCTTCCAAAAAATATTTGTGCCAGCCGAACATTTTTTGTCTTTTCCCGATTTTGACCCCTTACATCTAAGTAACAAAAGGCATTCATGGTTATGAGTTGGGCATCATATAAACAATGATTGACTTATAAACGACATTAAACTTGACTTTTGATACAAATTTGAAGGACTGACGTAAACTGTTAAATTGACAGTGCATCAATCGAAGTGTTGCAACATTAGCGTACTATTATCTGCCTTAGAATCTTTATTTGTGCATAACTACGTTGTCAAAAACTATACTTTTGATTTTTAGAAGGCACATTTTCTTATACCGGATGTTGACTTGACAATACACTTTTCCACTCTCCTGTCAATCATCAGTTAATTGACCAATCACATGTGGTAAATTAACCACATGTGTAAACATTTGATAGCAACCTGTGTTGTCGGCCATAACCTCGGTCAAACATTCTTATCTAAACAGTTTATTTTATTTAACATTTCTTGAAATTTTCACAATTAAGTCGTCCAGAATTTGTTTTTGGGAAAGGACTCAATTTATGAGGGTAGAGGAAGGTCAAGTTGTCAACTTGAAACAAAAAAAGATGTTTTAATGAATGGCAGTTATTAATTAATCAATTGAAAAGGAATATGATGGCAGTGCTTATTGTTTTTAAAATAATGTTTACATGCTATTTTGAAAAATGAAAAAAAAATATATATTTGGAAACACAAGATTTCAATTGGTGTACAAATTGAGTTGAAATTGATATTTTTTTCATTAATTTAAAAGATTTATACTATAAACCATGCAAGTTAGTATGTATAGTTTCTGGAAATTACAATTATATATCATATAGTAAAGATTCAGCAACAAAAGAATTAACACCTTTCCCATTTCAATTACTAAGAATTATCCCGAACTTATTCAAATGTTAAAATATTTGTACTTGGAAGCAGTTTCAACTGAAAACGTCATGGTATTTATCATCTATTGGATGAACAGATTTACAAAATATCAATCATGTAATGTAATATTCTATATCTTGTTGTTAAACTACATTTTTGGGGAATGAGGGTAATCCATTATAGCTTCAAATTTGCAATATTTTAATTGTTTCATTTTATTAAGTATAAATGGACATAATTTCTTCAAAATGTCATAAATCTTTCTCTCAACCCTTCAGGAGTAACTATTTCATCATACCTTAACACAAAAACAAATAATTGAACAAAATATTGCTCTTATTTGTATTTGTTATCACAAATTCTTTACTTTGTTATTATTCAATGTTCACAATAACCACCATTTTGTTGATTAGCTTGACCTAGGATGCTGGGTTGCCATGTGTTGCTAAGGTAGGCGGGGCATACCAGTAGATAATAGAAAGGTGTATTGTAAAACAAGGATCAGAGAGGGTTATGTAAAATCCTTGTACATTTACAAAGCACTGTTGAGTTTCAGTAACTCTTTCCACTTTATTTCTTCAAGAAAATACTTGAAATGAACGTAAGATAAAGGTATCAATGATAGTTTTAGCATTTTTGAAGAATTCAGATTGATAAGTAAATCTCACATTTGCGCACAAATTTGATTTATATAAGTATCTTTGATGATCTAAATCTTTTTGACTAAATTCATCAGATGCAACCGCTGAAATTTATGAAAATAACTTTAAAAAGACCGATCAATGTCCAGTACATATTAGTTTATCTGTCACCTGAACAGGTAAATTTCAACTGACAGGTAATTAACATTGATAGTAATGAGAAGGTAATAAAGTAGGGTTTGTTTTGATGGTACTTATCCCCATGTCACTTTAATGACTGGAAATGTGGCTGTTTAAGACAAAAGTTCAGATCAAAAGATTGCAAACACTTGTCACAGATATAATTTATCGGACAAGTCTGGACAATACGACAGTTTTGATAGCCTTGCCCTCCTCCTCCTCAGGTGTGGTTCATTGACTTTGGAACATAGTTTACATGTTAAAGCTTTGCTATTTGAATTTCCGCATTTGCATACTTTTGCAAAGTTACACACAGGCAAGACATATCTCTGTGTCAACAGTTTATCTTTGGATTTGGCTGTATATTTTATTACATATTTTGTTTTACTTATATATTTCCTAAATAATTAATTATTTCCATAGGTGTTCTCCAGAATTTTTTCAAGAAAGAAAACTCTCGACTCAGTCAGATGTATGGAGCTATGGAATAGTTTTGTGGGAGATATTTTCGTACGGGAAACATCCAAACATATGTCGAACAGAAGGCACTGAGATGAATAATATTGCAATGTACATAATAAAGAAGGGATGTCATTTAGATAAGCCAGAACAATGCCCTGATCATGTATATCTATTGATGAAAGATTGTTGGGATATGGAACCAAAACGTCGGCCAAGTTTTTCAGGATTAGTTGAAAAGTTTCAGTAAGTTAAACATACATTTCAGCTCAGGTCCATCTGCCAACATTTAACCCCAAAACTTGTAAAAAAAAACTGAAATAATTATTACAAGGTGTAATTGTTTGTTAAATATCTAGAATCAAAAAAAGAAATTGCAAGTCCACTACATAGAGTGGAACATGGAACCGTTTAATGTCTTTGCCCATGCCCTCTGTGGACAAAGTGAAAGAAAAAAACTCTACTGTATTGAGAACAATGGTATATGCTGAACTTGTGTACTATCTTTTTTTTTTATTTCTGAATAAGCATCAGAAATATAACATTGTTCTAGATAAAAACATTTACTTTAGAGTGAAAAATATTCTCCTCACTAGATTTTACAATTGGTAGAATTACAAACTTCCATTACTGTTGTCACATGTGAGCATGCTAAGTGTACTGCAGTAAGCATGCTAAGTGTACTGCAGTAAGCATGCTAAGTGTACTGTGTGATGTGTTATCACATGTGAGCATGCTAAGTGTACTGTGTGATGTGTCATCACATGTGAGCATGCTATGTTATCACATGTGAGCATGCTAAGTGTACTGTGTGATATGTTATCACATGCAAGCATGCTAAGTGTACTGTGTGATGTGTTGTCACATGCAAGCATGCTAAGTGTACTGTGTGATGTGTTATCACATGCGAGCATGCTAAGTGTACTGTGTGATGTGTTGTCACATGCAAGCATGCTAAGTGTACTGTGTGATGTGTTATCACATGTGAGCATGCTAAGTGTACTGTGTGATGTGTTATCACATGCGAGCATGCTAAGTGTACTGTGTGATGTGTTATCACATGTGAGCATGCTAAGTGTATTGTGTGATGTGTCATCACATGTGAGCATGCTATGTTATCACATGTGAGCATGCTAAGTGTACTGTGTGATATGTTATCACATGTTAGCATGCTTAGTGTACTGTGTGATATTTTTCACATGTTAGCATGCTAAGTGTACTGTGTGATATGTTATCACATGTTAGCATACTAAGTGTACTGTGTGATATGTTATCACATGTTAGCATGCTAAGTGTACTGTGTGATATGTTATCACATGTTAGCATGCTAAGAGTACTGTGTGATATGTTATCACATGTTAGCATGCTTAGTGTACTGTGTGATATGTTATCACTTCCATCATTTTTCAACGTCCTGTTTACTGAATACTTATAGTAGGGTATCATAAGTGGGCAATAGCTCACAGTTTAACTTGTTTATATTTATAGTTGGTCCTAAGCACTTAATAACATTAACGGTACTAATTTTACTGCACCAGGTGTGCATATTGACAATGAAAGTCTCTTCATTGATCTTGAGTCCATAATGTTTGAAAATCCAAACCTTATTCTAAAAAAATGAAGAGCTAATAAAATTGTTATATTTCATTACAGATCGTACCTTAGGCCAGTGAATGACATCTAAACGGAAGTAAAAAAACAACATGGACAGATACAAGGAACACAAAGAACCTAGACATTTATACATAGGACAGATACAAGGAAGACAAAGAACCAAGACATTTATACATAGATAGGAGAAAATCAAGTTTGTTGTCAAGGCAACAACTTTCTAGTCCAAAAGTTTGATTATCTGTATGGTATATTTGTAGGTTGTTAAAATTTCTTTCTTGTTTCGTGTGAGAAAAAAAAATAAAAGATATTTTTTTAATTATAAATCTTATTTCAAATCTGGTTTTTCATTTTACATTTATACAAAAAATCATTGTTTTGGAATCTCCAGATTGAGGTCATAAGACATATTTATTTCCAATCAGAATATCTGTTAAGAAGATGTTGTTTTAAAAGCATCTTTACCACAATGTACCACTAGCTTTGTTCTAAAAGCATCAAACAGTTGAAATTTTATCTTTATTTATTGAACAAATTCAATATGATGTAATATATTCATCTTTCTAAATATGCATGAAAAATTTACTACTTAACATTAATTCTAACATGACGTTCTTCAAACGCTTTGAGTACACACCCGTGGTAAAATATGAATATATTGTTTGGGCTGTTCCAATCGTACTCCCGCGTCATATGCTATTTTATGAATGAGCTTCCCGACGAGAATATAAGCCTTTTACGGGAAAATACACGCTTGTGAAACCGAAAATCATCACAACAAGGAAACGTAAACAAACGATGCTAAAATGTGTTGTAAGCCATATTTTTTTATACATATAAGACATATAAGTAAATTATCATTTAGATTCATCCAAAACTATCTAAATAGGTTATTGTAAATAGTTTAAGCATGTAACTAATTCGGTTTACTCCATTCTTTTAAACCAATCTAATAGTGCTTTTATTTATGGGAACGGCAAATATTTGCCTCCACCTAGAGCGCTTCGATCCAAAAGAATTGCTGTATTTGTCCTATTAGAATCGAAATAATTCATAAGGGGCTTAAATATATGGTGATTTTACCACGGGTTGTCCCTTTATGCCGATATTTTAACCCTCGCTATTGCTCAGGATAAAATATTTGGCATAAAGGGCCAACCCGTGGTAAAATCACAATTATATTCAAGCCCCCGTGAATTATTTCTTAAACAACCAACATCTAATCATATATATATATATATTCATCATTCAATTATAAATACTGTTACAGATAGTTAAAGGAACCAAATAATTATTATTCACATTTTGTTAGTTTATCAATTGATCTTTGTTTTTATTGTTGCTCAGTTGTTGTTTTCTGTGAATTGTTTGTATTCTGTTTGTCTTTTCAGTCATGTTTGTTTTTCTTGACTTATAATTTGTATCGTTTTCTTGATCATGTTGATATCTTCTGTCTCTTTTTTGTGCACTGGGAATTTTTTGTTCCAGAACCATTGGCTAAAGCCACCATTGAAACATTACATTTTGCTTAATATAAAAGGATATGCATTGTCCAGTAAAAATAATGATTGTCTATTTAGAACCTTTGTTATATGTCCTTTTGTTTTTAAACCACCAAATAATGATTGTCCAATGAGAACCTTTGTTATATGTCATTTTGTTTTTAAACCACCAAATAATGATTGTCCAATGAGAACCTTTGTTATATGTCATTTTGTTTTTAAACCACCAAATAATGATTGTCCAATGAGAACAGTTGTTTCTTGATATTTCTACTGATAGAAAATTTCTGAGGCCAGTATTATAAACTGCAGTAATTATCGTCAAGAATGTAAATAATGTACAGTGATATCGGTGGAAGATATTTCTATTCATGTTGTTAAATACACTACTCGGAAGAGGTGTGCCTACATTGGCAGAAGTTATATAACAGATACAGATTAATCATACATGTGTGTATCAAGTTTTCATTTTCATTTGAAATGTAAATCGAAATGAAATTTTTCAATCATTGATGTGTTCATCATATTAAAACAATTTTCACCACTGTCTTGTTAGCAAGAAGTTAGTAATTGAAATATATTTGTGTAAAACAGAATTTTTATTTTTCTCAATCTTTATATTTCTGAGTAATGTTTTATTGACTGTTAGCCTTTTGGTTTTTGTTTTTTTGTTGGACAAATTGTTTTTGAGTGCCCTTTGTATATCCTCATTTTATGTGAGATATATATTGTAACCTCTTTAATAATTAGTCCCCTACCGACGAAGTCGAAGGGGACTTTAGTTTTGCACTCCGCCTGTCTGTCTGTCTGTCTGTCTGTCCATCCGTCAGTCCGGTAAATCAGTTTTCCACACTTTTTTTCTTCATGCTTGAAAAAATTGATTTGATATTTGGTGTATTGTTTTATCATGACAAGTTACAGATTTTAGTTCGAATTTTGTTCCGGTCTGATGATTTTGTGCAGAGTTATGGTCCTTTGACTTAGAAAATTCACTAAAATAACCGGTTTCCGCATTTTTTTTGTCATTCTTGAAGATATTGATTTGATAATTGGTAGATAGTTTTATCATGACAAGTTACAGTTCAAGTTTGAATTTTGTTCCGGTCTGATGATTTTGTGCAGAGTTATGGTCCTTGGACTTAGAAAATTCACTGAAATAATCAGTTTTCAACACTTTTTTTCATCATGCTTGAAGATATTGACTTGATATTTGTTATATTGTTTACACCATGACAAGTTATAGGTCAAGTTAGAATTTTGTTCCAATACAATGAATTTTTAAGCGGTAGGGGACTATGTATTGCCATGCAATACTCACAGAATGCTTGTTATATATAAAGATCTTTCAGACATAGAAATTGGCCCTCCTCCTTTCTAGCTTTATTGTTGCATCATGTTTATTTTTAGAAATGACAGAAGATGTTTGGTTAACATTGTTGATTTTCTTTAATAGTGGTGTAAAATTAAGGAGATTTTCATATTGTAATTTAGTAGACAATGCTTTAATTTTGGATGAAAATAATTATGTTCCTTTATTGTCATGTTTTCAAAGTAGTTTTCATGTATTTTTTATTTAACCTGTAAGTCTGATTGGGACAAACTAATACAACCTACCATTCATTTAACATTAATGTCTTTCATAAATCAGTCCAACTACAAATAACCAAAGGTGTGTCCTACAGTTTTCACATACTTCTGCATAATTGTTTTGAAGTACACTACTAATTACTTAAAGATCAGAAGAGTTTATGATTTTGAATTGTGGGTATTTTTATTTTCACAATATGATTTTGTATTTAATGTAAATATTTGTATTTATGGTCAATGGTTACTTTATTAGATTATATTGTATAGATGGTTATAAATCAATAGTTGTTTAAGCAAGAGGGTGTTTTTGATGTAATCAAGAAACATTTTCGAGTTTGAAAGACCATTGATAATCCGTTATTCGCTGATTTACTCAACACCATCGATGATGTAAGATCATTACATTCTCCTTTTATTCCACTGAGGGAAAGTCATATCACTGGAGTAGCCTGAGATTGAAAATTATCATGCAGAAAGATCAAAGGAAAATTTGAGAAAATAGCGATAGTTGTAATTATTGGAATGAAGCTAATTTGTTAATACGAGTGCCATATTTGTTATAAATAGACCTTATCGCTATTTCATAATCTGTAACACTTGACTGGAGAATTTGAGACATTTGAACTATTGACGTCATACAACAAAAACTTTTCCTTTGTAATGTAAGATATTTTCTATAGTAACGTCTACATTTTACAGGAACGTCTGTGACGGCCAGTAATTCCAGACAAATAGCGATAAGGTGTATGATCTTGCTATGATAGAAAATTTAGTCATAATTTTTGTTAGATTTACATTTGCTCATTTTATTTTTATTTTATTCATGTTGTCATGTGATTCATTATATATTTACATATGTAATATTTGCTACTGGACTTAAACCAAAGCACCAATATTCTATTGAAGCTTTATTGAAACAAACAATCTTAAAAGGTTAAAGGTCAAACTGTTGTGTCAGTCTTATAGTGTTCTGTGTCCAATTTTGATAAAAATAAAGATAGATATATATTTGAGATCCAGGTGCAACTATAATACAAGAACTCTTTATTCTACAACAATATTGCACACACTGTCAACAATAACTTCGCTGACACAGCTATGCCAGTGAAAGTCCCTGTTAGTACCAGAAAATCAGAGAATCTTCCGGTAGATAAACTGTCTGTTGTTTACAAAAAATTCATAACATTAATGAATAGATATTCTCATTAATTTGATGTATTTATATTATCTGTTTTTTTTTTAAAGCAACAGAGTATCCGATTTTCGTCTTAGATTGATATTTGTGTAAATAAACTATTATCAAATTTCATGTTTCCGGTGAACATATGTTTTTTAAGTCAATTTTTGAATTAATTGTATATAAGCTTAGTCTAAATTATTATTCAGGAAGGTCAGTTATAATTTGAAGGATTGTAAATGAAGCATATGTGTTGTGTTCATGTATAATACAGAAATTTCACCATCTCCATTCTTACCATTGTATTATAATAGCCTATTCATCAAGTTGGAGATTGGAAGATAAAAATATTGTTATAGTGCTGTTGCTTTACTATTCAGAAATCTTTTCTCTTCAAAAGATACTATCAAAATTACCTTAGTATACTATGCTTAGATATTGTGAATGATTTGAACTTAATATATGAGTGGTTCTCAGCAAATCATACATTGCAAAATTGGGGACTATTACAGAATCAAAAGCCCATGGTCTGTCTCTTATAGAAACAAAGTACATACTTGTTTAAAGAAAAGTATTGGGGCTGTAGTGTTCTATCGCTAAAAAAAAACTATGGTCATTTTTATTATTTTCGAAATTGTTTGATCAAAAAACATTTGCACAAGTGAACAAAAAATTGCTCTGTAAGTCCATTATTTTAATTCCTACATATCTTTCTATAGTGTTGTCAAATATTTTGGGATCCTGGGCTTACAACTTTTCTTTCAATTTACCAACTTCTAGAAAAATAGGAGTTTTATCCCAGTTATAACAATATTTAATGAAATTAGTCATGAAATAATGAGACAATTTCGACATACACAGTTTTGAAAAAACATTTACTTCTGAACTGTACTAACTAAGAGTTAAAAAATCATGTGAAAAGTGTTCCCCTTATGCATTTCGTCAGGGTTTTCCAATCATTTTAGTCCTTTTGATTTTATCAGTTGTTTAAAATATCTAATGGGTTTTGGTTTTCAAATACTTTGGCCTGGGGCATCACTGAAGAGATATTAATGATCTAGAAGTAAATATGGTACTTTCTTATGTAATTCTATGAAGCTTAGATTATATGCTCACAAAAGGAAAATAAATGGTATAAAGCTTCATTTTGTTCATAATCCCAAGGAACTGAAAGAATTTCAAATGCATGGTGATTTGTAAAACCATATCCCATTTTTCGTTCTCTTTCCTGATTTTTCATAAAACATCTCAAAGTAGCATTAGATTATTCCTGCAGAGCATATGATATCCTACAAATTTGTATATTTGATAACCAAAAAGTATAGTGTTAAATAAAATAGATATGCATGAATAACCATCATG